GCTGGCGGTGTGTGTCTACAGCATAATATGTGTACCTATGAGGTGATCGATGGGGAAGGAACCGACCAAGGGTGGGATGAGACAAGTGTCATCAGCCTCAAAATAGAGCAACTCTCTTGTCTACAACCAGTTCAGGAGAACACCCAGACCATGAGCTGTAGGCCACTCGAACTGCTGGGAGGTGGCCCAAAAGTTGCCTTGTGTTACTCTCTATCGGCTCCACGCCCTCTAGACAGCTGCTGCGGTTTGCAATGCTGCTTAAAAGATCGCTGTGTAAGAAGTGTGAGGGTGACTGTACTCGGCTCAAGCTGTGCCGCTGCTGCTAGCTGCCGCTGCTGCTGCTGCTTTTTTTGAATGAACCGCCACCCCTCTCTTTCGCAAGCGGCTGAGAGTTTGCTTGCAAGAAGCCTTACACGGGGTACTTCTCTGCGGTGGCAACACCCCCGCTGGATGCTCCCGGCGCCTTGGATGATGGCAGCAGCCAACCAAGCACAACGACACCTCTTTTCGTTCATGTAGACAAAAGGGAAGAAGCGGCGTGGGGAACGGTGGACGCGAGTCTTTCGGCCAATCAGCGGGGGGGCCGTTGTCACGTCATGCCGACAATAAATCTGAGCCTCTTGTCGGATCTTTTGATTCCAATTTTTGTCTGGGCAATTTTGTCTGACCATTTTGTCTGACCAAAACGAAACAATTTGCCGAAACTCCCCAATGACTCTGCTGCAGTCCGACACCTCCAGACAACTACACAGGACTGCGACTCACCAACCTAGGGGGAGAGGAAGAATCGTTAGTAGGAGGATCCCGACTGCTCGTCCTCGATCTGCGGGCGGATACTACCGCAGTATCGCGGAGGTGCAGGCAGCTCGTGTGAGAGACGGCTTGTTTGGTTCGTCTGTGAACAGGGTAGGGTAGCTCCTGCGCTGGAGGAACTGCGAATGCCACACACATCAAACTATCTCAGGGCGGATGGTACCTCTTGCGGCGGCTATGCTCTCCGCGTGAGGTGCTCTGGCGAAGTTCCCCCTCGACAGGGCTGAGCGGGAGGAGCAGAGTGAGGGAGCTGGCAGGTGGCAGGCAGAGACCAGAGAGAGGCCGGATGGGAAACGCCTTTTCTCATTTCTTGGATGCTGGCAGGAACAGTGCCTGAAGAGGCAATTTTTTTATGTTGGGTCGGTCTTTCCTGTGGTTCCGTGACGTTTTTCGACATTTCCGTCGGTAAAAGTGACGGAAAAAGTGACGCTACTTGTACTCTGCAGATTGCGGCCTGTACTGTCACTACATGGCCTCACACTACTGATGAACAGCCTCAAGACCAACAGAGGAGTAGGAGAGGGAGTGCTGAGTGTGTGTGGAGTTACCTAGCAGAGCCAGAGGTCGCTGATGAGAAGTTGTGTAAACATTATAAGAACCAGGGAAAAAGCCCTCGAATCCAACAATCTTCTTCTATCTCATGCATGTGTCACATCAATGTACACAGATACAGCCGTGCTGTACCGATGCAGCCATGTTTTACCGATCGCTGATGAAACCACAAGCAAGAAGAAAAGCTCTCGTGAGGTTTGTTCCTCGCAACGTGTGTGGTTTTTGGGATTCATCGCTGTGCTGTGACGGACGGCAGCTGCTGGTGCTGGTGGTGCTACTGGTGCTGCCGTTACTTTTTCCGTTGGATGATTTTCCACCGGGGCGGCACCTCCTACATTATGTGCTCTAACAAACGCAAGGAAATCACGCGTGCGTGTAGGAAATTACCTCCTCCCTCTCTCTCTCCCTGGCTGCGGCCGGCTGTTGCTGCTGATCAGTGCAGCTACTGTTGTACCCTCTTCGGAATCCTACAGCAGCAAGCAGCAGTCATTCAAAGATTTTGTTGGCCAACGACAGCGGCAGCGTGGTAGAAAGACCCTAAAAACAGCGGACGTCTCTCTCAGAAATGCAAGTTTCAAGAGAGTACAACTCGTCCACCTCCTCGGGCAACTCCTGCAAGAAGCGGCGCGTGAAATGCTGCCGTTGCCATGAAGAAATCGCGCCAAAGCCTTGAAGTTTTAACTCTCTTTTTATTTATTTTTTCAGGCGCCGACATAAAAAAACTGCCCTCGCGCGGTGGATCCCATTTAGGAGGTGCGAGGTGCACGTAAGGTGCACGCACCACCGTACGGTCGTGCCAACTCAAAGAACCTAGTTGGAGCGAAAATCACGCTTTGGTGATGGAGTGGACGTTAGGTTGGTGGCCTGCGGTACTCTCTGTAGACTACTAACCAATTTTCTGCGCCTGTAGGCAACTTGACCCTCTCGAAAAGCTACCGTAGTCGTCCCCGTCAAAAACCAGCATGTTATGACAGGAGGCTCGGAGAGCAAGCACATCGAAGAGACCTCCTTCCTTGTGTGAGGCTCGGAGCGATTGGGAGTAATACTCCTCCCTGTACCTTTCAGTAGCAGCTGTGTATAGGAGTGGGCGAGCCATGCAGACGTCCGGCGACTACATCAGTGAGCGTAGAAACATGATAGATTATGCCCTGGGATTATGCAAGCAAGCCACGCCTCTCGTCACCTAGGGACTTCCCGCACTCTCCCGCCCTGTTACAACATTTCTTCCTTTGATGGATCGCCGTAAGCATGTGCATTCGTTGTCTTGTCGTAACGACATATCAGGCGAGAAGAACTTTACGCCAGACTGTGCGCTGGTCGCTCATCCTCTCGAAACGTGCCTCTCTCTCCAACTGGACCAGATGTAACCCGTAATCATCAGCGTCGAAGACTTGTTTGGGTATTTTTCATCTACCCCTCGCAGCAGCACCTGCGATCTCTGCTCTTCAAACATCGCCACAGTCGTCAGACCGACCCGTGTGCCGCGTTTGACCCTCTCTTGAACAACCAAACTTATTGTCCAAAACAACTCAGTCGATCTACCCTTAACAGCTTCGCGTGGGTCAAACCATGACGAGCACCTACGCCATTCCAACGGTAAAAACGGTGGCGTTGAACGCGTGAATCACATACGTAAGGGCACAAATGTTTCCCGCGCTTTTCTAGCGACAAGACGATCTCGAGCTTCACTTGCCCACGCCGAATGCATCTACTATTGTTTTGGTGAGCGCTGCCACTGGACTCGGGCCGGACCAAGCTCCCATCAACAGGCTTCCCCACGTCCAATACCCATAATTTCAACAACTGCGCTCGTCGTGGCCACCGAAGCTTAGCACCCGACCAGCTGGAATACTGCTGTACATTCGCCGTGGACAGGCCAACATCCATCCTACGAGCCTATACACCAAGCCAACATATATTTCACGAGTAAAATCGGGGCCGCAAATGAGTTCAAATTCGGCACGAACACGGATGAAGGCTTCTGCTCTGACAACATGTTGAAATGTCGATAGAGCCGATCATTGAATCTCTCCTTGTCGTAAAAACGAGAAAAAAACGGGTAGAAGAGAATTGATTTTGATACCGCCCACCCACCCAGCTGTAACCATGACTGGTGGTCGAGTAGATTATGTTGTGCGGGGTCGAGAACCCTCACTCCGCGCGAAGGGGATAGTCGCACGTTGTGTTAAATTGGTCAAGCACCCTCGAGGCAGTTTTTCAGCGCTTGCAACTGTCCCTGGAAGTGAAAGCACCAGTAAATAAATTAAGTCATACACAGCTGTCATCCGTACGCAAGCAAGTAAGCACATGATCCGAACACCTTAGCAGGATGCAGCGCACCCTTCGTCGAATACCTCACGGCGCTTCGCGCTTGGTGATGTGAGAGTCTGGCCCGGTGAGAACCCGGCGTGCTCCGTCCCGGCTTTGTAGGGATGCGAGGTCAATGGTCTAACGACCACGGCATGCACGACTATGAGTACACCCCCCCACCCACCTTGCTGCTAGTGTGAACAAGCCAAGGCTTGACAAGGCTTGACGCCTAGCGATCAGTTACAGATTTATGGCGGCGCCGACCACAATTTGCGCGAACGTGCATCATCAGGGGAACCGCAGACCTCAGAGCTGGAGGTCTCACCTCAGAACCCAATACATACATTGGATGATTCTCGGCCAACAGCAAACATACAACAGGAGCGCCCCAGCTGAGCTCTCACAACCACACTCAGCAATATGCGGGTCTTCAATCAGAACAAGCCGGTCGGGAAGGCAACAAGAGCTCTGGTCGAGGCAGGTAGGTGCACGTAAGTCAAGCTTTGGAGTTGTTTTCGCGCACCGTTGAGTGCCATGCCCTTTCCCTACTTTCCACGTCACTCCGCACCTTAATCTGTATCACATTCTGGCCGCCAGGCCCGTCGGGGGACATAGGGTCGATCCTTGACCCAAGTGCATATATTCATCTTCATGACCAAGCTTCAACCACCTTGGCAGCCCCAACATGTCGCAGCACCACCAGAGCATTTCAAAAAAGCTGATTGATTTGCCTCATTATTCACACGAAGATGGTTCCGCCGCCAAACAGAAAAAGCGGAGCTTCCTCAGCAGCGTCGAACGGGAGAAGCCAGTATGACTCCTTTGAAAATCCGAAATTTGTTTGGGTGTCACCGCTACATCAACTAATGCATCTTCAGCCTGCTGCGCAATTAATTAGCAATCCGACATTTACTGCAAGCACGACAATAGTGGGCGTACTCCCCCGCCCCGTGGCCCCTCCGGAATATGACCTCGACCTGATGCTGTTCCCTCGACACATCCAAAAATGATTCAAAGTACACGATTGTGGTACACCTTGTATGCCCCCTGCTTCGATGCATAGTGTGTACAAGCCGACGAAACCAAAGTCGAAATACGCCGGCATGCTGCATTCACTAAGACGCCAGGTGCGTGAACGAAAACGTTGGTCAAGACTGACCGGACGTTGTTACGATGGCAACATTCCTGAAGAATCCCTTTGTCAAGCCAGTCATGTACCTAGCGCATACGTCGCGGGGTCAACCACAATGGACCCCAACACAACGATCTGTCGGAACGGTACGAGACCACACATGCGGCAATACTTCTTGGTGGAACTCCTGGCATTACGCAAGCCGCACATTGATCATTCCTCGCTCGCTGTGCTGAGAGCAGAACTCCGCTTTTTTGCTGCCGGTTCTACCATATGACGGCTGCGTCGTGCACCCTGGATGACCGCACCTCTTGTTGTTGACATCAACCATACCCTGCTGCGCGTGCTGGGCACAGAATTCAGCGTTCTTGCTGCCGTCTTTCCCATACGTTGGGTGCTTTGTGCATCCTGGATGACAGCATCGTTTGTTTTTCACGTCAATCATACCTGGCTTGGCGTGCTGAGAACACAACTCTGCTTTCTTGCTGCCGTCTTGTCCAAACGACGGCCTCTTCGTGCACCCTGGATGGACGCACCTCTTGCTCACGACATCGATCATGCCCTGGTGTGCGTGCTGAGAACACAACTCCGCTTTCTTGCTACCATCTTTTCCAAACGACGGCCTCTTCGTGCACCCTGGATGACCGCACCTCTTGTTAACGACATCGACCATGCCCGGCTGCATGTGCTGAGAGCAGAACTCCGCTTTCTTGCCGTGAGCTTCGCCATACGACGGGCGTTTTGTACAGCCATTATGCTGGCAGCATCGCTGTCGCTGGCCACGATATCTGGTTGTTGTACGCGATGACTGTTGAAAAACACGATTCCAAACGAGATCGAGCAGAAGCCAAATTTCAGAGTTTGAAACAGGTCTATACCTCAGCAGCAACGCAAGCGACATCGGGCAATACAGCGAGAGGTATACCAACGGAAACATCACACGACTCCGCTAAAGGATTTCTATGCCTCCATTCTAGATTGTTTGGTGCACAAACGGCAGGGACGTAATCCATGCGAGCTGACGACTGAGGGGTGTTGACGACTTGGTCGAACGCAATGGTTGATGGGATTTTTCCAGAGGAAAATTCTTGGCTACACCACAGGATTTGTTCCCCGATCGATGAACCGCTTCCTGTCGAAACTACTAGTCACTGGTTCTAACCCCGTGCTCTGTATGTTTTTTTGTTTCTTTGCAGGGCTCAAAGCCAGGATATATCGCTATCCCCAAACCCAACCGACTCGACCCAAACCTATGGCATTGGAAAGTGCTAGGTCACTGTACCAAGCAAGCCGCGGCAAGCCGCGGCGCTAGGTTGCCCTACGGTGAAAAAGCTAGGTTGCTGTACCGTTCGCGATCTAGGCTGCCGCTGTCCCCTATAGGCTAAGCCGCGGCGGAGGAGGGGGCAAGGTCTAGGTTGTTGTGCGCCGTGAACGCTAGGTTGCTGTGCGGTGAAAAGCTAGGTTGCCGTGAAGGGCTGCACCTACACAAGGAATGTCCCAAGAATATGGTATCCCGACATGGAGACCACTGCTTTCGACCAAGTCGTCAGCACTACTGTCACGACTCGCGGTTGCTAGGAATTCATCGTCCAAGATCAGAAACTACAATGATTTATCCCCCTAAATTATCACGATACATGTTCAACATAATACCCGGGGCCTCTCGATTCAAAAAAGTGAAACTCTTTGCATGCATCAGTGTAGCGCGCGTGCGGCCCACGACGCCCAAGGGCATTACAGACCTGTTCTTTCGATATTTTGTTCGGAATTTACCCTGTGTTTGTTGCCACGGTAGAAGCAGCGGTCGGTGTTCCACCACCAAAACCATGTGCCCCTGGGCTTTTCGACCCTATTACTCCTCAGTTGCAAAAACATGGAAGGCAGTTCGGTGCTGAAGTTAAATTGGGTGTCTCTCACGCGAGAACGCCATCGACAAAGCGTGCGGTCGGTGCTTCAAGCACGTTCTCCTCCCACAATACCTCCGACCTTTTGCTAACCTGAGCTTTTCGCCGCTTTCTATAGCAGAAGACGGATATTTTAGTTCTGGGAGACCTTTGTCTTCCTTATTCAACTGCACCCTACACCAATAGAGTCAGTAGCGCAAAGTGATCGTGTTGTCTGAAGACGGGATAACACGTTCGTCGGTGCTCGATTCCGCCAGCTGTGCACTACAAACAAGCTTCCTTTCCCGAACCTTCTCCGCAAACAACTAATACCAATCATTCGCTGCTCGGAAAGCCCGCCAACAGTCAGTGACGTGCTGGACTTACTGATGAAAGCATGCACACTAGCCAACCGCATAGTCATGGCGTTTTCGAATAGAAGCGCGGGAGAGACAACCCTTCCACATAACTCACCGTCTTGTGTGTTGCCGCCGTCCCACCGCCGATTGTTCCTGGTGCAGAGACCTTCCGTCGGCGCTTGGATGACACTCTCGTGGGGCTGACAATTAAACACGATATATACCCACGCGAGCGATGTCAAAACACCTGGGAGGGGTCAGAACGGCACGATATTCGGCCGGGGGGGGCAACATGAACTGAAGGAATCGTTGTTGAGGACGAGCGCGCGTAATGACCACCCAGGGAATAAACAAGCGTGTGCGTAATGCAACACATGAGCCCGCGCAGTCGCCTTTGGGTGTTCTGGTGTGACGTCATCACCATCACCTCCCCAATGATAGACGAACGCTAGAGCGCTACCTTGACCACGGGTTGCCCGGAGAGCGCGTGTGACACGAAGACGAGTACGAGCACCGTGTCCAGCCGACAACCAGAGGGCAGCCAATACATGTTGTAGAGCGGCAGGGAAATATGTTTTGTGTGTGAGCGCTGCCAGCAAACGTTCGCAGTGTTGGCAGATGCCATGGAGCGTGTGTTGTATCGTGTCCCGAGATGTCGGCAGCTTGTGGCCGCCTCAGAGAGATTTGCGGTTTCTCTCTGATCAAATCTGAACGTCGTTGCCGGAGTCTAGACGCTTTGCACCCTCTAGGTGGTTATGGATGGTGAAAATAAACAACGTTGAAATCAAAACTGCGTTGAGGCCTTACTAACGAGCGGGGCAGCAGATCCTTGGTAGAACATCTCCGGAAAATGAATATTTTATCGCTTTGAAAATGCAGGAGTGGTCCCGATATAGTGGCACCCTGGAAAGTGAAATGCCCTCAACAGTGGCATCAAAATCTCTTGTCACAACCTCAACCCGATATCGTGGTATTGTACCACTATTGAGGACGGGGCCCTCAATAGTGGCATCTTGGGCATCTCACCCCCCCAACAGTGGCAATTCAAAACGCCGGAGTCTCCCTGTTTTTCACCGCAAGCTCTGTCCAAAGACGCAAGGGAGAATTTTTCGTAGAACGTTGGCAACATGTACGTCAAAGAGGACACATTTTGTGACAACGAGGTAGAGCAAGACAACACCGAAGATTCTGAGAGTGAGAGAGGTGGAGGGATGAAGGCGCCGCCGTCCTTCGCGGAACTGTCTGGGATTATTGGTCCTCTAGAAGAGTACGCGGAGTCGTGTGGCATTGGCAAGGCCGGGGGTTTCCGCCGTAAGGCAAGGACGGCATTCTTCGCAGCACACGCCGCTAGACCGTCACGCAGTTGGACATCAGAGCGTTTGCCCAGTCATAGTGTAGTGGTATTGATTGGTCGGTTGACGCCTACAGGTGCATAAGCATCGTGACGGTTGGGATTGATGCGCCGGAGTAAGGAGTGTTCGGCGTTTTCAACTTGGTTCCTCCAGTTGGTTTCGCGTACGTTGATGTTCAACATGGATGCGTGTTTTGCTTATGCTGAACCCTATCATGGATGGCTAGACAAGATAAAATAAAATGGTGGTGCTTTGTTTGTGCAGTCCGCCTGCACACAAAGGTTGGGTGCGATCGTCAAAGGCCTCGTTGTCACAAGACGATCAAGTGTCAACGCACACGTGATGGGCAGACGCCTGTGTTTGTTTTCGCGCGGATACTGGTGCATACAACAAAAGAGGGACCTTAAGATATGTCCGTAGCGTAAGCATCAAAGCTTAATTCTCCCTACTCAATAGTGGAGTTATTGCCACTATCTCGAATAGTGGTATTGCCCTGAATAGTGCCATGTTTTTGTCTTGCCACCGCATGCCACTATGTCGGGACCACTACTGTAAAGCCAAATGAGAAACTGACACAATGGAGGACCGCATCTACACGAGGTTGATCCCCGCATCTCGTGCGGTCGTGCGGTACCAAAAATCGAACACCTTTATCGCGCGTTCACCTTTCAGCTTGGTTGGGTTGCCGGCTGCTGGCTGTCCAGGCGCTGTGTAGGCAGAGGGCCTTGGCCAAAGTCCCGAGCTTGCGCTTGCCCGGCCTTGCCTGGATCGAATTATCCGAACACTGCAAATGATGGGTCTGGTTGATGCCGCAAGCAACATCTCCAAAAGTCAATTCTGGGGCTACGCGGATCAATCTACACGACTCTCGCGCATAATCCCATTCATAATCAGTATCTGACTACGACAAGACGGAAATACTAACACCGCTTGTAAGCGTGGAAACGGCAAAGAAGAGGAAAGCTTTGGCGCTAAGGTGTTACCCACACAGACTAACACGCACCGTATTCAAGTAGTGAAGGGAGACTTTGCCATGACATGTAAAGGCATCAACGGGATGGATTCACACTTTGCACAACGCACAACGTCGGCCATGATTGTGTCGAGAAGAGCGGCCAACTTCACCGGGGGTCGTACTGATAACGTTGCACTCTTCATTGAGGGTCGATAGTTGAGCGAAATTCACGCGCTCTCCACCGCTACCAGTGGGGTGCGACGGGAATCAAATGCGTCAAATCAAAATAATGTGCCTCTGACGTTAACCCTACCCTCACCCCTTCTTCTTGCTCCTCCTTCTCCTCGTGCTCCTCCTCTTCCTTCACTTGGATGCCGTCGACCCCAGGAGTTGCCTGATAACGCCATGCAACGCGGCACGGTCACCGCATATAGGGTGCTAGCAAGTAACTGAAACAACAAATTGCAAAGGTGCTACAGGCTGGTAGGGGCGGAAAGAGAATTTCGACTTCATGGTAAAAATATAGTCTCGAAACGTCTCAAGAATAGAAACCGCTCTTTCGGCTGGGTATGGCCTGCGACCGGTCTCGGCAGCCCACCGTTTGCAGCTGCACGCAAGGCTCACGTTGGCTGCCCCAGCAGAAGCACCTATCTCGGTTTCCAATCCTGCAGATGACATCGAGCCTGTTTGAAACACGATACGGATTGCAACAAGCACAAGGCGGCATGATTCCGAACTAATAGAGACGCTTATGCTGTTGGGTATGCATGTTTGTCTAATGCCGCGGTTGCACTGAATGTCCCGGCGTGGAATGCGTTTTTTGTCGGGGTGCGTTGAACATAAGCAACAGCAGCACAGCAGCAGGTAGATTGGATTAGTGAGTTGAGAGCGCAAAAAGCCTGTTCTACACACCACCACCGCGGCGGGTGACAATGTGTGTACAGCTCTACACCCCTGCACACTTTGTGCGAATCAGTGCATGCACAGCGTCCGACCTGTGCCTTCCCTGTGCTCCTCGTGCACCACGCGTGAACCTGTGTCTTGCCTGGCGCGGGCTCTTGTATATTTTTTGGCGAAAAAAACCGCGCGGTCACGCATCAGTTTACTTCAGCTATACATATTCTTGGGGTTAAAGCAAAAAAAACCCTGTAAACTCCGCCCCGTTCTAGTATGCGATACATCATCCAGCCCGTCGCCATCACACACTCCACCGATCTGCACGACGAAAGTGCTCACGATACATTAGGCGGATAAAATATCAGTAGAGCACCCAAGCACACCAAACGTTTAGCATCGCAAACCAGTCAGTCATAGGCATACCTGTCCCTCACGATCGGCGGTTTGTTGTCTGATTCCAAGGCTGCTGCTGCCGGTTTGACCGTCTCCTCTGCTTCGACGTCTGGCTTTGCTGCTGATAACTATTCCGCGGTAGCTGCTGCGGTTCCAGAGATGAAAACAAATCGGTCAAGTTATGTTAGACTACGTCTCATGCAACCTTTTTATTACGGCCGTCCCATTTGTTAATAACCGGACAACTGGACAACAAAACGCTTCTCAGACCATTTCCGAAGCTAACCGAAAACTGCAATATTGCATGTGCAATTCCCATTCGAACACTCAAACATGCTGCCTGTCAATATGCAAAGTATGATGGTGAAGTCGACGTTTATGCACTAGCTTTGAACGCGGCCGTTGGAGCTTTTCCACTTGCTACACCTCATCGCCGGCTTGGTCTTTCGTGGGTCTCTCTACACTGGCTGAAACAACAACAGCAAATCCATCCGCTCGTCGCTGTGCATGTGGTAATTCTTGTGTCGTCGTTGTTGGAGACCGTGATGGGCTGTGAGGTTGAGATCTGAAGTTGGCGAGAGGGTCGACTGCTGTAAGAAAATGACATACCGCTCTGCTGGACAGGTTTCTTGCTATGTCGACGGTGGTCTTTTAATCTATCATCTCCCTCCCCTAACTGACTGAACAGCAACGGCACAACCCCGAACCTTCTAGCAGGAGGGGTGATTATTAACCGAGCGAGAAAAACGAGGGTTTCGTCCATCGGTGTGTGTGTGGTGGGATGATGATGATGATGTGCTCACTCTTTGTGGGTCTGAACAAGGGTTTATGTGTGTGTATTAACTCGCCAACATTTTGCTTTGAGCCTACCTGGCCACACGACAACCATGTATCAACGGCTGGGATCGCAGCACAACAGTGCTCGGGACCCTAGATGGGCTCCCTACGACCATGCCGCCCAGGCACCGGTATGAGATGTTGAGTGGTTCGGCCTTCTCACGAGTGGTCTCAGCGAAGTCAACTTTGAGCATTGTACCAGCTTTTGTCCGAGGAAGGGGTGGGAATACCCACTTTTGTCCATTTCCCGAAACAAATCGACCCTGCCTGCTTCCATGCTAAAACACGAGCAATGTTTCACGCATCCTGAAGTACGTGGATGTAGCACGATCTACCGCTCGGCAACTCCAACAGCTGATGTGCAGGCCAAAGACTTGCTGTTCTTCCTTGTCGGAATCGCCGAAATAAGTCAACCACGCGTTTTTTGTTTTTGGATTGTAAGAAGGTGTACCCTCTTGTGTTTGTTTATAGTAGTGGTGGTCTGCGACCACGGAAGGCGCCCGCGTCACTTGGACCCGTACTGATATTTGAAGGTACTCAGCGGAGACCGGAACGGCTTTTTAATCGTTTTATTTTTCATTGCGGCCCATAGGGGTGCTTTTGTCCTGCAAAAAAAAAGGAAAATTTCACACTACAGTAGGGGGCGTGAGAAAATGTACCATGCATGCCCGTCTGACGGTCTGTCTGTGATGGCATCGATAAAAACCCAGCAGGCTGGACATATTTCACCGTCTCGTCTAGGCACCAAATCGTAAGCCGATGCATGTGTCAAAACAAGCATCAGTTTGCCCGAGCAATCCCAACTGCTGCCAATCCTTGCCCAGTGCCTCGAGATAGCACGAGATTCTACAGCATCTGGGCCGAACTTGAAGTAGGGCAAGTGGCTACCGTAAGTTGCATAAGATACCAAACCCGTGTGATAACATTGTTGGGGGCACCAAAGTTATCACACCGGTGTGGTAGTCTGTAGGGGGTGTGATTTCTTTTGTCACCCGTGCGATAAAGTGCACTAGCAGAACCTCACGTACAGGGGGTGTGATAACGAAGGTGCGTGATATCAATGAGGTGCGATAACGTCGCCAGTATGATGGAGCGCGCTCACAGGACCTGGCCTACACGGGGTGTGATAATGTCGACAAAAGCACAAGACCGTACTTACCGGGGGTGTGATGGTCATTCGCTCATGTGATGCAATTCGCTCAAAGCAGGAAGAGGGAGGAACCCATCTACAAAGCTAGGATGGCTCACGCAACATCATCACGTGCTCTCCCACGTGCATTTTCGCAATATCCTGTGGAATGCTTCGCATAAACAACGAACGTGTAGTTCCGATACCTCATAGCGGTTGTGTCGGTGTTGTGTGCGACAAAACGGCAGCACACCAGCACCCGGACGACCCAACGACTTGCAGACTTGCGTTCATCACTCAAGCTGGAACTATGTAGGACGCAAGCAAGTGCCAGCAACGTATCAACCAAAGCTAGAAACAACAACAAAGCGACTCTGCCCACAAGGGCTAGTTGGTGCACGATGGCTCTCAACAACGCGGTGCTGCTGCAGGGTTCTCAGCAGTAGTAGCCGCCCTCAGGGTTTTGGTGGTTCGCCGGAGAGCTGCCTTTTCGGGTGCGGGTGTGGGTGCTGCGGGAGCCAATAGGTTCTGCTTCGCGGGTTTCAGTGGCACCCGCGGTGGCCGGCGCAGCCGGTACTGTGGGAGTCTCAGCGCCAGTAGATTCTGTTGGGCGGGCCTCAGAAGTACGCACGGTGTCATGCACGGCTGCTGAGGGAGTGGTCTCAGCCGGCGCCTCACGTTCCCCCGCGGCGGCCTGAAAAAAGATGCTATGGAGCATGGAGCCGCCGCTGGAGCCTTACCCACTGCAGTCTGAGCCGCGGGCTTTCAAAGTAGGTTACTAACTGCACCCCCCTAGCATTGTCGACCTCCATGGCTTGTGCGAGCAGGTTGTGCGCTTGTGATCCCGTGTTCTCAAGTTGTCACACCGTGGTAATAAGCGGGGGCCCCATCCATGATATGCGGGCCAACTTTAGGGTGTGTGGTATCTAATGTCATCGCGTGATAAAATTACGCTATTTTTCGGGATTAAAAAAAAAAGCACACGGGTGTGGTATTGTGTGCACTTTCGGAGGGGGTGTGGTATCTTATGTAAGTGTGATATCTCATGCAAGCTACTGTAACCCGTCGCAACTAGAGGAGGCGTAATGTTTTTTTTTGGAACCTGACGAACGCTCATGCAAGACATCACACAGAGCCGGACATAGACTGGAGGGGAGGGAGACACACACCACAGCGAGAGCGAAACGGAAGCAGCGTGTGTCCTATACTACTGCTGTTCACTATCGGCGGAGGAAACGAGAGGAGAGATACACGTTGAATGGATGGTTCTGGGCTCACCGCTTGTTGTTTTCTCTTGAATGCAGCGGATTTTTTACCTTGCTCGGCAGCGATCTTGGAGAGAGGCCACCACACACACCAACACACGCTCGTTCCTAGACACCACCCCTGACGACGCATTTACTGCTATGCACCTCTTGACACTTGTGTGCGGGAGGGTGTCGCCTCTACTGCTTGCTGTTGTTAGCTAGCGGTGGAGGGGCGAGAGGAGGGAAGAAAGGCTTGCAGAGTTGGGTGTCAATTCACCCCCGGCTTGTTGATGTTGTGTGTGTTGTTGCCGCAGCCGCCTTATTTTTTCCTCGACAGCCACCGTGGAGAAAGGCATCACCATCACGCTCATTCCTAGACATCACCATGGACGATGCATGTATGCATGTACTACGGTACGCTTCTCTCTACTTGGGTTCGAGGGTAAAAATATCTAGTGCGAGAAAACGAACGAGTTCAGAGGAGCTGTAGGCGCCTTTTTTTTTCGAGCTGAAGATCACCCCCCTGTGTGAATCACCGTCGCCCCCCAGAGCTCCAAAACCGATTGGCGCACGCACTACAGCATGCACCCTGCTGCAGGTACCTTTTTCAGCCAAAAACAAAGAACCCTCCACATCTTGTCATGTGAAGACAACGATAACAGCAACGCGGGTATCAGGGTGGGCCTTGTCGCCTGAAAATGCGATAGCCAACGTCGTAAGGCAAAACTCTACAGAACTCTACGTTGTAGACTGATGAAAATACTATGAAGCTGATGTAGTAGACGAACCAGCAATGACTCTGCTCCAGTCCGACACCTCCAGACAACTACACAGGACTGCGACTCACCAACCAAGGGGGAGAGGAAGATACGTTAGTGGGAGGATCCCGACTGCTCGTCCTCGATCTGCCGGCGGAGACTACCACAGTATCGCGGCGGTGCAGGCAGCTTGTGTGAGGGGTGGCTTGTTTGGTTGGTCTGTCAACAGGGTAGGGCAGCTCCTGCGCTGGAGGAACTGCGAATGCCACACCCATCAAACGATCTCAGGGCAGATGCTCCCTCTTGCGGCGGCTATGTTCTCCGTGTGAGGTGCTCTGGCGAATTCCGCTCTCGACAGGGCTGAGCGGGAGGGGAAGAGGGAGGGAGCTGGGAGCTGGCAGACAGTCACCAGAGAGAGGCCGGATGGGAAACGCCTTTTCTCATTTCTTGGATGCGGGCAGGAACAGTGCCTCGCGCGCTGGATCCCATTTAGTCTAGGAGGTGCGAGGTGCGCGTAAGGTGCACGCACCACCGTACGGTCGTGCCACCTCAAAGGCCCTAGTTGGAACGGAAATCACGCTTTGGTGATGGAGTGGACATTAGGTTGGTGGCCTGCGGTACTATGTAGACCGTTTCGGAAGTACTTTTTTGGGTCAATAACTGGCCCAGACAAACGGAGGGTCAGATTTATTGAAAATAGAAAATTGTTGCCGGTCTATAATATAAGCGTTTTATTTTTATTTTTTTGGGACCCACTTTTCGCCCACAGGGCTCAGACAAACACCTCTCACCACCCCCACATTATCGGAGGCGTGTGTTCCTGTTCAGTAGGTCCAGATTTTTTAGTAGCGTAAACCACAATATATGGCATCGCAGCGTACAGATTCGTCCGAGCCTCATGTCACCACCGCTAGACAGACAGACCTGCTCCTCCTCCGATGTGCGCGGTGTGCGTCTATACATATGTGTAGGTGTCTGGTGATCGTTGTGGAAGGAACCGAGGGGAAGGTAGCATGAGACAAGGTTAACCAACGGCCAGCCTCAAAAAAGAGCAACTCTCTTGCCTACAACCAGTTCAGGAGAACACACAGACCGTGAGCTGTAGGCCACTCGAACTGCGGGGAGGTGGCCCAAAAGTTGCCTTGTGTTACTCTTTACCGGCGCCATCTCCTCTACACAGCTGTTGCAGTTTGGAACGCTGCTAAAAAGATGATAAAATCGCTGCGTGGGGGGGTGATTGTCCTAGGTTAAAGCTGATGTTGCTGCTGCTTGCTGCTGCAGCAGCTATCTAGCTGCTGCTGACCGCCGCCTCTCTCTTTCGGTTGATTGAAACAGGACGTCACCTGAGCGGCTGAGAGTTTGCTTGCTTGAAGCCTAGACTATACAGGGTGTTTCCCTGCAGTAACAACACCCCCGCTACATATATGCTCCTGGCACGTTGGATGATAGGTAACAACACCCAACCAAGCAAACATATATTCTTGGTTGGAGATGAAAAGAGGCCGGGGGAACTGCGCGCACGAGTTATTCGGCCAATCAGCGGCGGCCGTTGCCACGTCATGCCGGACAACCAGAGCCTCATTTCTGATATTTTTCATGCCAATTTTTGTCTGGGCAATTTGTGTCTGGGCAAACCGAAATATATTTCCAAAACTTCCCATCGTAGACTACCAACCAATTTTCTGCGCCTGTAGGCAACTTGACTCTCGAAAAGCTACCGTAGTCGTCCCCGTCAAAAACCAGCATGTTATGACAGGGGGCTTCTGGAGAGCAAGCACATCTAAGAGATCCCCTTCCTTGTGTAAGGCTCGGAGCGATTGGGAGTAATACTCCTCCCTGTACCTTTCAGTAGCAGCTGTGTATAGCAGTAGGCGAGCCATGCAGACGTCCGGCGACTACAGCAGTGTGCGTAGAAACATGATAGATTATGCCCTGGGATTATGCAAGCAAGCCACGCCTCTCGTCACCTAGGGACTTCCCGCACTCTCCCGCCTTGCTACAGTACAACATTTCTTCCTTTGGTGGATCGCCATAAGCATGTGCATTCGTTGTGTCGTCGTAACTACATATCAGGCGAGAAGAACTTCACGCCAGACTGTGCGCTGGTCGCTCATCCTCTCGAAACGTGCCTCTCTCTCCAACTGGACCAGATGTAACCCGTAATCATCAGCGTCGAAGACTTGTTTGGGTATTTTTCATCTACCCCTCGCAGCACCACCTGCGATCTCTGCTCTTCAAACATCGCCACAGCCATGAGACCGACCCGCGTGCCGCGTTTGACCCTCTCTTGAACAACCAAACTTATTGTCCAGAACAACTCGGCTATCTATACACGACTTCGCGTGGGTCAAACCATGACCAGCACCTACGCCATTCCAACGGCAAAAAAGGTGGCGTTAAACGCGTGAATCACATACGTAACGGCACAAATGTGTTCCATGTTTTTTTAGCGACAAGATGATTCGGAGCTTCACTTGCCCACGCCGAATCCATCTACTACTATTGTTTCGGTGAGGGCTGCCACTAGACTCGGGCCGGACCAAGGTTCCATTAACAGGCTTCCCCACCTCCAATACCCATAATTTCAACATCTGCGCTCTTTGTGGCCACCGAAGCTTAGACCGCGACCAGCTGGAATACTGCTGTACATTCGCCGTGGACAGGCCAACGTCAGTCCTACGACCCTGTACACCAAGCCAACAAATATTTCACGAGTAAAATCGGGGCCGCAAACGACTTTAAATTCGGCACGAACATGGACGGAGGCGTCGGCTCTGGCAACATGTACAAATGTGGATACAGCCGATTCTCCTTACCGTGACGGTACGAGAATACACCGGGTAGAAGCGAAACGGCTTTGAGACCGCCCACCAACCCTGCTGCAAGTGTGAATAAGCCAAGGCTTGACAAGGCTTGACGCCTAGCGATCAGTTACAGATTTATTGTGGCGCCGACCGCAGTTTGCGGGGCAGTGCATCATCAGTGGAACCGCAGGCCTCAGAGCTGGAGGTCTCACCACAGAACCAAATACATACATAAGATGATTCTCGGCCAAGAGCAAAAATATATGAGGAACCCCAACTGAAATCTCTCACAACCACACTCAGCAATATGCGGGTCTTCAATCAGAACAAGCCAGTCTGGGATTGCAACAAGAGCTCTGGTCCAGGCAGGTAGGTGCACGTAAGTCAAGCTGTGGAGTTGTTTTCGCGCACTGTTGAGTGCCATGCCCTTTCCCCACTTTCCACGTCACTCATCTTCATCTGTATCACATTCTGGCCGCCAGGCCCGTCGGGGGACATAGGGTCGATCCTTCACCCAAGTGCATATATTCATCTTCATGACCAAGCTTCAACCACCTTGGCAGCCCCAACATATCGCAGCACCACCAACCCGGACTCACACCACCTTCTGCGGATCAGTTCACCACCACTTTGAATAGAGCATTTCAAAAACGGGGCTGATGGATTCGCCTCATTATTCACATGAAGATGGTTCCGTCGAACAGGAAAAGTCAGTATGACTTCGAAAATTCGAAATCGTTTCGGGTGTCACCGCTACATCAACTAATGCATTTTGATCTTGCTGTGCAACTAACTAGCAATCCGTCAATTTACTTCAAGCACGACAATAGTGGGGGTACGCCCGCTCCGTGGCCCCTCCGGTGTATGACCTCGACCTGATGCTGTTCTCTTGACACTTCCAGTAATATATCAAGGTACACGATTGTGGTACACCTTGTATGACCCCTGCTCCCATGCATAGTGTGTACAAGCCGACGAAACCAAAGGCGAAATACGGATTCACCAAGACGCCAGGTGCGTGAAAGAAAACGTTGGTCAAGACTGTCCGGACGTTCTTACGATGGCAACATTCCTGAAGAATCCCTTTGCCAAGCCAGTCATATACCTAGCGCATACGTAGCGGGTTCAACCACAATGGACCCCAACACAACGATCTTTCGGAACGGTACGAGACCACACATGCGGCAATACCTCTTGGTCCTACTCCTGGCATTACGCAAGCCGATCATTTCTCGCTCGCTGTGCTGAGAGCAGAATTCCGCTTCTTGCTGCTGGTTCTACCATGTGACGGCTGCGTCATTCACCCCGGGTGACCGCACCTCTTACTACGAACATCGACCATGTCCTGCTGCGCGTGCTGAGAACAGTACTCCGGCTTCTTGCTGCCGTCTCTACCATATGACGGTTTCTTCGTGCAACCTGGATGATCGCACCTCTTACTACGAACATCGACCATGTCCTGCTGCGCGTGCTCAGAGCAGAACTCCACCTTCTTGCTGCCGGCGTTTCCGTATGACGGCTGCTTCAAGCACCCGGGATGACCGCACCTCTTACTAGAAACGTCGACCATACCCTCCTGCGCGTGCTGAGAGCAGCACTCCGCGTTCTTGCTGCCGGCTCTACCATACGACGGCTTCTTCATGCACCCTGGGTGGCCGCACCTCTTACTACGAACATTGACCATGTCCTGCTGCGCGTGCTCAGAGCAGAACTCCACCTTCTTGCTGCCGGCGTTTCCGTATGACGGCTGCTTCAAGCACCCGGGATGGCGGCATCTCCTGTTGACCACGTCAACCATACCCTGCTGCGCGTGCTGAGAGCAGTACTGCGCGTTCTTGCTGCCGGCTCTACCATACGACGGCTTCTTCATGCACCCTGGGTGGCCGCACCTCTTACTACGAACATCGACCATGTCCTGCTGCGCGTGCTCAGAGCAGAACTCCACCTTCTTGCTGCCGGCGTTTCCGTATGACGGCTGCTTCAAGCACCCGGGATGGCCGCACCTCTTACTAGAAACGTCGACCATACCCTGCTGCGCGTGCTGAGAGCAGTACTCCGCGTTTTTGCTGCCGTCTCTACCATACGACGATTTCTTCATGCACCCTGGGTGGCCGCACCTCTTACTACGAACATTGACCATGTCCTGCTGCGCGTGCTGAGAGCAGAACTCCACCTTCTTGCTGCCGGCGTTTCCGTATGACGGGCGCTTCAAGCACCCGGGATGGCGGCATCTCCTGTTGACCACGTCAACCATGCCCTGTAGCGCATGCTGACAGCACAACTCCGCATTCTTGCTGCCGTCTTCGCCGAATACAGGCACCTTCATGCAACCTGGATGGCCGCATTTCTTCCGTACCACATCGACCATGCCCTGTTGCGCGTGCTGAGAGCAGAACCTCGCCTTCTTGCTGCCGTCTCTACCATATGACGGTTTCTTCGTGCAACCTGCATGATCGCACCTCTTCCGACGAACATCGACCATGTCCTGCTGCGCGTGCTGAGAGCAGTATTCCGGTTTCTTGCTGTCGACTTTGCCATATGACGGCCCCTTTGTGCACCCTGGGTGACCGCACCTCTTGCTCACGACATCAACCATGCCGTGCTGCGCGTGTTGGGCGCAGAACTCGGGCTTCTTGCCACCGTCTTTGCCATAGGTCGCCCGGGTTGTGCACCCTGGAAGGCCGCACTTCGTACTACGAACATGAACCATGCCCGGTTGCGCGTGCCGAGCGCAGAACTCGTCATTCTTGCTGCCGGCTTCGCCGTAATTCGGCCTCGTTGTGCACCCCGGGTGGGCGCACTTCTTTCTACGCACATCGATCATTCCTCGGTCCCTGTGCTGGGAGCAGAACTCCGCCTTCTTGCTGTGGACTTTGCCGTACGATGGCCGTGTTGTACATCCGTGCTCCTGGCAGCTTCGCTGCCCCTGGCGTTGACATAGTGATGCCTGAAAGGCACGGTAACTGTTACGATCGGGCAGAACCCACAATCCAGAGTGAAAAACAGGTCGATATCTCAGCAACCATGCGAGAGGCATCAGGAGGCAGCGAGAGACTATTTAATACATCACACACCGCTTCAGAATCTCCGCACCTCCGTTCTGGAGGTTTCATAATTCACTCTGTCCTTGTTGCCGGGGTGAACGCACTCGTCGGTGTTCCATCACCAACAGCTTTGCCGTGCGTTTCCCGTCACCAATGTGCTCTGAATACTACTAGCTCCTCAATACAGGTCTCTGCTGAACCTAATTGATAACCTGTCAAAGGAGAACGGCTTCGACACAGACTCTGACTGTTCGTCCTTCTTGTCAGTTACTTTTGGTCTACTGAACAGTCGGTGCTTCAAGCGCGTTTTCCTCCACAATACCTCGACTTTTGGTTTCTACCCGATGGTTTCCACCACGCATCATGTATTTTGCAATCCACTTGGAGACAGTCTATTGAAGGATGGGAGACCTTGCATCCCACATTCAACCCCACTCGGAACACGCCCTTGTTCCCCGATACACCAATGGGCTCTGTAGCATGAAGTGATGGTGTGCGCATTGGGTTTTCCGGGCAACACAACTGAAACAGCGCTTTGCAAAGTCCGCGTGTATTCCCCTTGCAGTTCATCAAACACGTTTCAACACAACTCACTCGAGAGTAGTAATAGAGACCATCGGACAACATCCACGGGAGTAGACTCGGCTAGAGTTGCAAGCAGTCCGACTTCCTCCCAGCAAAGCGTGGTCTGAAGACTGAATAGCATTCTTGCCGGTGCTCGATTCCGGTAGCTGTGTGCTACCAATCGCGTGCCCGGCAGCAATCATCATCCGAACCTACATCACCACCAACGAATACCAATCGGTTGCTGTTCGGAAGTCCGGTAATGAGTGAGTGGGGTGCTTTATCAACCCTGAGGAAAGCATGTGCTGGCCAGCCACAAATCATGACGTATTCGAATGTACACGCGAGACAGACGAACCTTTCACAGAACCCACCGTCTTGTGTGTTGCCGCCGTCCCACCGCCCATTGTTCCTGGTGCGGAGGCCTTCCGTTGGCGCTTGGATGACAGTCTCGTGGGGCTGTCAAACCAAACACGATGTATCCCCATGCGAAAGTTAACAAAACACCGGGGAGGGGTCAAAACGGCATGAGATTGTATGTACGGCCGCCTCACGATGGCGCGTTACCTTGGGCAAGGTCGTCCCTCAATTACCTTAGCTTGAAAAAAAGCGCAAACAGACTGCCCGTGTAAGTGATGCATTAAGTGGAGGCCATCTCTGTTTGCCGCGATAGTCTCAAAACGCGTAAAGCCCCCATCTTCCACGAACAGCGTCTGAATCGTGTAGGGCACACTCGAAGCTAACGAGGTGCGGTGACGTGGTGGTTCAATCGAGATGATTTTGAAGATTCGATGTTGAGAATGCAGATGTCCAGCGGTGGACCATGGGTCAGTCTGAAGCGTCGACGGCTATGTTTCGCCGGCTGCAACAGAGGGGGGGACGGAATGCCTACGAAGAACCGACGGTGGAGAATCGGCTCCGTTTGATATCACCTTCATTGCCGGATCTCTCCTGAGGGAAGGGGGAGGCGTTGATATCGGCCAACCGGAAACAATAGCAAAACGATACCGGAGGGCCTGCATGGCCAAAAGGTGACCCAGCCGCGCATGCACATGCGTATAATCAGCGTGAAATGAGACTGAGCAGAAGTTAACTTCTGGGGAGAAAATGGCAGTCGGAAGGGTCCTTTCCCCCTTCATTTCTCGTCAGGGAACGGAAGGTTAAAGATAATTAGGATTCTATTGCAGACAAGAGAGTTCTGGCGTTGACGCAATCACCATCACCTCCTCAATGATGGACGAAAGTTAGGGCGCTATCAAAACCGCGTCTTCACTTCCGGCGTGTGTGACATGCAGACCAGCACGAGCACCGTGTACAGCCGACAACCAGAGGGTAACCAATGAAGAGCGGCAGGGTGAACGTTTGTGTGTGGGCGCTGTCAGCAAGCATTCGAAGTGTTGGCAGATGCCATGGAGCGTGTTTGTATCGTGTCCCGAGATGTAGGCAGCTTGTGGCCGCCTGAGAGAGACTTGCGGTTTCTCTTTGATCTAATCTGAACGTCGCTGCCGTAGTGTAGACGCTTCGCACCCTGCTAGGTGGCTATGGACGGTCATAAAAACTTCGGAATCAATTCTGCGTGGAGACCTTGCCAACGGGCGGGGCCGCAGACCTTGAGTAGAAGATCTCGGGAAAATGATGCCGCTTTGAAAACATAGCCAAAAGAGAAACTGAATCTCTGAAGGATAACATCCACACAAGGTTGATCCCCGTATCTCGTGCGATAGACACTCGAATACCTCTATCTCGCGCTCACCTTTCAGCGTGGTTGGGCTGCCGGCTGCTGGCTGTCCAGGCACTGTGCCGGCAGAGGGTCTTGGCCATACTCCCGAGCTTGCGCTTGCCTGGCCTTGTCTGGAGGGAGTCATCCGAACACTGCAACTAATGGGTCTGGTTGTGCCGCAAGCATCTGCCATCTCCAAAAGGCAATGCTGGGGCTACACAGGGGATAAACTCACATGAAAATCGAGAGCATTCCAGTCCTTATCATTATCTGACTACGACAAGACGGAAATACTATCACCGCTTGTTGGTGCGGCAAGAAGACATGAGCTTCGGTGCCAAGGTGATCCCGAGACAGACTATCCCACACCGTGAAGGGAGACTTCGCCATGACATGTACCAGGCTTCAACGGGATGCTCAGGATTGTGTCGAGGAGAGTGGCCACCTTCAACGCAGGTAGTACTGATAACGTTCCACTCTTCATTGCAGGTCGACAGTTGAGCAAAATTCAACCGCTCTCCACCGCTACCAGTTTGATGCGACGGGAACCATATGCGTCAAATCGAAACTGAGTACCTCTGATGTCAACCCCTAGCCTCACCCCCTCTTCTTGCCCCTCCCCTTGCTCCTGCTCCTCCTCTTCCTCCTCCTCCTCTTCCTTCACCTGGATGCCACCGATCCCGGGAGTGGCCTGTTAACGTCATCCAACACGACACGGTCGCCGCAAAAGGGTTCTTACAAGTTAATGAAGCAACAAATTGCCAATGTACGACAAGCTGGCAGTGAGGGGAAAGAGGATTTCTACTTCATGGTACAAACCTAGTCTCGAAATTCCTCAAGAATAACAACCGCTTTTCTGGCTGGGCGTTGCCTCCAACCGGGCTCGGCAGCCCATCGTTTGCAGCTGCACGCAAGGCTCACCTTGGCTGCCCCAGCAAAATCACTTATCTCGGTTTCCAATCCAGCAGATGACATCGAGCCTGTGTGCAACACGAAACGGATTGCAACGAGCACAAGGCGGCATGGTTCCGAACGTACCCGTGGTTTCAGAAAGACGTCATGTGAGTGACTCGACGGAACCAGCATAGAGCACAGGCTGCCATTTTTCACCAAGGGCCAAACGGCATCCGTACTACCCTCTCGGTTGTTTCCCGGCCTCATTCTCACCTGAACCCTTTCTACCGCTGCTGTCACCACTGGTATACTTCCCAACGAGGCGATTGAAGCAACAGGAACAGTTAGTCTAGGTCGTACAAGGGCCAACTAGAGGGTAGCGCATTGGATCCGCCGGTAGCTCTTCTCAACTTTCTTCCCATGTCGGACAAAGTTTACTGAGCAAATTTGTAGGTTCGCCCGTCAGCAAAATGCACACCCTAGGTGCCTGTTAAAATATACCCATCTGCTGCTTCGATGCCGTCGGAGGCGTACGCACTGATAATCGAAAATCGGTGTTGTGGGTTGAAAAAAAACGCGGGAGGCTGTCTGTGGGTGTGGGCACGTGTGTACATAGACGGCAGTAGACTGGAGCCCACCTCGCCGGCAAATCACCAAAGTACAAGCCAATACTTGTGCCCAACAGGTAGTGATTTCCCCGTGCTGTAACAAACCCGTCTTGCCTATTCCTTGCTAAGCGCGTCGAGACACTTTAGCACGGTGTGCCTACCGAAGTTGTTGTCGGGACGCACACACCCGAAACGGAGAGAGGCGTCACTCTTAACCTGGCCTGTGATGAGTGGATGCTAGACATGTAGACTTGTGTTCGAGGGAGAGGTACTGACGAGTGAGGGGCCAGGGATATGCCAGCGAAAAGAGGGGCGAGGCGGTGTGACATGTACTATTGTACTGCTGTTGTGGAGGCGAGAAGAGCAAGATACACATGAGCGTGTTGGTTGGTGGCGGATTCTTGCTTCACGCCGAGGGAGACAAATCATCAGCAGAGCATGCACCCACACACATAGGGAAGAGGCTGGCCTCTGCACCGGCTGAGAACAAGGAGATAGACGAGAGACGTCCTCACTGTTGTGTATGTACACGTTTGTCTTATGCCGCTGTTGCATTGAATGTCCTGGTGAGGAACGCGTTTCGTGTGGGAGGGTATTGAACAACAGCAACAGCAGCACAGCAGCAGGTAGAGTAGATTTTTTAGGCGAGAGCATGCACAACCTCTACACACCACCATGGCGGATGACGATGTGTGCACAGATCTACTGCCATGCTGTTGTACACCTGTGAATCAGTGCGTGTCCAATACCCGACCTGTCCCTTCCCTGCGCTCCTCGCGCACCACGCGTGCACCCGTGGTTTAACGGACGCGGGCTGTTTCTTTTTTTGGCGCCGCACCGCGCGCGGGCACGAACCAGCGTACTACAGGTATTCACCTATTTCTGGTTACAGCAAAAAACCACTTCATACTCCACCGCAATCTAGGAAACAATGAATCGCTGCCCGTAGCCATCACACCGATCTGCACGAAGAATAGCGCCACGCAGAAAATTTGGCGGATTCCAGTAACGTCATAGCACGTAAGTGCACCAAGCGTTCAGGATCGCAAACGAGTCTGTCAAGGGCATGCCTGTCCCTCACGATGGGCGGGTTGTTAGCTGATTCCACTGCTGGTGCTGCCGCTTTGGCCGCCACTGCTGCTTCGACTTTCGTCTTTGCTGCTGCTGATTACACGGCAGCTGCTGCGGTTCCAGACGTAACAGGAAATGTCGGCGAAGTAAGAGTTGGATCACTTCTAATGCAATCCAATAGTTTGCTATCCTTGTTGGATAAAACGGGGAAACTGACCTAAAAAATGCCTCCTAGACCGTTTCCTACGCTATCCGAAAATTGAAGTGAGAAATTTGCAACTTCCCAATCGAAGACCAAAAAATAACGCTGTCAGTCAAGACGCTTCTGATGGTGCTGCCGGCTATGGCACGCGGCCCTTCGATTTTTTCCACTTGCTACACTTCCTCACCGTTTTTTCTTTTCGTGGGTCAATCTACACTGGCTGAAACAACAGCAACAGCAAGGCCATCCGCTTGTAGCTGAGCGTATACTGCCTTTTGTGGAGGTGGGTGTCAGAGGCCATGAGTCGCTGGGATGTTGACAACTGCTGTTGGCAAGGGTCAACTGCTGCTCGAAAAATACCCCGGCTGGGACACACAGCCTTTTGCCAGTTTTCCGCCCGCCACCAGTCAGTTTGGGTCCGTAGCGACCACTCTTCACCGAACGCATCTATGCTACTTTTTGTGTTGTGGTTGTTAGACACCGTGACGGGGTGGGAGGTTGAGAAACGAAGTTGGCAAGGGTCAACTGCTGTTCAAAAAAAGACGTACCGCTCACTGCTGGACAGGTTCCCTACCATGTCGCCGGTGGATTTTCAGTAGTCCCTATCTCTCCACTGACCAACCAACAGCATGACACAGCCCTGAATGTGTGTGTACTCGGCAGGATACGAATATTCGAGATCTCCAGGGGGGTACGCAGACATACATTGAAGGTGTGATGGACTTGACGCGCTAGGCGCTGCTTACCTGCCCACGTCTCACTCTCTAAATAATACAAGGAACTTGAGCCACTCCTTTGTGCAGAAACACTCTTGACAAGAGCCCGCGAGCGTGAAAACGCAGTAAATGCGCCGAAACCCTAAACAAGCCCCTGCGAAATAGAACAGTTGATGAAGGTCACACCCTTGCAAAACTTAGCAGGAGAGGGATATCTAGCCAGCGAAAAAAAGAGAACTTTGTCCATAGTTGTGTGAGTGTGATGGGATGATGACGATGATGTGTTGTCTCCTTGTGAGTTTGAACAAGGGTTGATGTTTTTGTGCCAACTCGCCAACGCTTTGCTTTGATGGCCCTGGCCTCACGGGAACCGCGTGTCAACGGCTAGGATCGCAGCACAGCAGTGCACCGAGGATTGCATAGAGCCGTTGATGGGCTACGACCAGTAGTTGAGGCGATAAAAGTTGATGTTGGGCAATACAGAACGCGCCACCACTTAAGAACCTCTAATTTCGGCCGAGGCTCGGGTTCTTAGCTCCTAGGGTCATGCTACGAATGGTCGCTATCTAGGTTTTAGTCTAGGGGTTCTTACCCGAGCTTACAAATGATGCTCAAGTTCTTCAATCTCGAATTTTGTAGGCTCGACTTATTATCTCGTGAGTTCTCAAGTGGTGGCGCGTTCTGTACATGGACCCTGACCGTTGCCCAGGCACCGGAATGATGTATTGAGTTGTTCGGGCTTCTCACGGGTGGTCTCCATCAAGCTAACCTTGAGTGCTGTACCCGCTTCTGTCCGAAGCGGTGGGTTTCACGTTATGACCGACCCCACGTGCTTCCTATGCTAAAACACAGGTAAAGTAAAAGTAGGGAACAAGTCCAACAACTAATGTGCAGGCCAAAGACTCGCTGTTGTACGTGGTCGTCATCTCTGAAATAAGTCAATTGCTCGGTGCTCTTTAGGTTCTAGTTCTACGAAATGGAATTTCTTTTCGTGTAGACCCACTGGTGTAGTCTAGACCCTTGGTTCGAAAGTCGAAAGGTGTACCTCTCGCGCGGGCAGTTGTACAGCAGTACATAGTCTGACCACGGAAGAGGTCCATGTCAGTTGGACCAATGCAGATATTTGACGGTACCGGGCGGAGACCGGAACGGTTTTGTAATGTGAAGACAACAACAGCAACGCGGGCATCAGGGTGCGCCTTGTCACCGGCAAATTCGATCGCCGACGTCGTGAGGCACTAACTGTAGTCTAAATACTCTACTTTTGAGACGGTCGACAAAAACTACTGCGTACAGCAGTAGACAAACCAGCTCAAACTCTGCTGCAGTCCGACACTTCCAGAGAGCTACCCAGGATTGCGACTCACCAAGTAAGAGGAGCAGGAAAATGCGTTAGTGGGATAATCCCGACTGTTCGTCCTGGATCTGCCGGAGACTCCCGCAGTATCACGGCGGTCCAGCCAGCTTGTGTGAGAGACGGCTTGTTTGGTGGTCTGTGCAGAGGGTAGGGTAGCTCATGCGCTGTGGGGGAACTGCGAATACCACAACGGTCAACGGATCTGAGATCAAATGCTCCCTCTTGCGGCGAATATGTTCTCGGGGTGAGGTACTCTGGCGAAGTTCCCTCTCGACAGGGCTTGGGGGGCCGAGAGGGAGAATGGGACGACGCCTCTTCTCATTTCTTGGGATAACGGCAGGAGGAATGGACACAACACTCTTTGACGTGTTAGAGACCTCACAGCTCCCACAGACACAGCCGCTACAGAACAGTCACGACGCCAGCAATGAAGAATGTTAGCAGCTGGTTGCTGCTGCCGCAACAACAGCGACCCAGAGCAGAGAGAGAGAGAGAGAGAGAGAGAGCGTACTACGCCGCCCACCAGAGAGCCTCGAAGCTGACACTGATGACAGAGAGAGAGAGGGTGCGCCCCCCGGCTAAACAGAGAGTCTGGCAGCCGAATAACCCTTTCAGACCCATATACACACGCTTTCCCAAGCAGGTCTTTGTTCCTTGCCCTGCTGCTTATTTAGTTACGACGCAGCGCTGGGTTGGTCTACTGAGTTTTAGAAGCGCGAGAAGACTAATGTAGTTGTGGCCGTTGGAGAGTTTTTTTTAACTTGAATTTTTCTCATCATCCTCTGCATGATCTGTCGAGGCAGCGCCCGCCATTGTCCTGTGCTCTGCTCGCGACGGCTACTACTCCCATGCAGTGCGGGCTGCGGGGTCTCTGAATGCTATCCGAATACTGGTGTTCGCGCGGTTCTGTTGGATAGAGAGAAAGCCACACCGTGCATGCATATGTATGTGTGTGTATGATATGCCATGTGGTATGTCATAGAGGTGCCTCGTCAAAATCAAACAGGACTATGTGTCAGGGTGCCTAAACGACTCACAGCAGTCGATCCAGGGTTCTGGCTTTGTTTGTGCGTCTATCGAAAAAACACTCAGAGTAAATCAGCGTCGGCATTGTGGACTTTCTTATGTCGAGTCAAACACAGACATCACGCGCGCCAACAAGCTCGCCAGATCGCAGAACTCTTCTTGAAATTTCCCCTTGTCATCATTTTTACAACTACCATGCACCCCAAAACGTCCCAAAGCAGTTGATCTAGGGTACTGGCTTTCTTTGCACATCTAGTGCAAAAACTCGCGAGTTAATCGAGGGCGGGATGGCTGAGTAAGGTCGAGTCAAACACGTGACGGATCGCAGAACTCTTCCTACAAAACCCGGGTTTTCCTCCTTTTCCTTTTTCTTTTTTATTCATGCACCACCAGTAAAAAATCGCCGACACAGCGCACACAGCCAAGGGGCCCTCCATATGGAAATTTCAGAACATCCCAGCCCCCCCCCCCCCCCGGGCCAAAATGGCAGAGCAATATAGTATAGGGGGTTTAGGCTGCACGCTTGCACACGGCGATTTTGGCGCGGTGTGCAAGCAGAGCGTCGACCTAACGAAGTCAGGCGGTCAACTACGGTGGATTGAACACACAGCAACACGTTGGGCACATCTTTTGGGAGGGTGTTGGCACAGTCGCCCCCCTACTGCTGAGGTCAACTGTAGTGTACCAGTCTACCCGACCAACATGCTTGGAGTGAGGATTTTTTGGATATAAGACCTATCTCTTGTGGGAACACAATCTTGTCGATAAACCGGATATCCGTGATGTGTTAATTTGTTTTGATTGTCTCGCCAGCGGTTGATCATACAAAATACAAACCCAAGGAGAGTGCAACCTGTTGAGGGTCTTACACGACACGCAGGGTTCGAAGTTCGGTGAGCAACATAGATGGACCCATCCATCAACGGGTTGAAGTATTTATTTATTAAACAACGTGTGAGAACAGGATCAAAAAGAGGTGTCCTTGGGTCTTGAGTTGAGAGCACCTCCAAAGAAGTTTGACGCGCTTCTACTCTCGAGTGTTGACGTGCATTGTGATGTTATTATCGTTTCAAACCGTTGGTTTCGGCACGACAATACCCATCCGCTGTGAACGGCATCGGCAATCATTCAAGTAGGCGAAAACAGTTTCAGCCCGCCCAAGACAAGCTGGTATCGTAGATCGCCACCGTGACAAGATGACCGTATTCTCAACCCAGTAACGTCACAAACACTTGAAGCACGCACGTTTTCAAACCGTTGATCGAGGGTTGGGTTAGTATTGTCCGACACAAACCGACCCACAACAAAAGGAGAAAACAAATAGCCGAACAGGCAACAATTGTTGGTATGGACGGGAGATACTCCGGCGTCCCTCTTGACCTACTCTCCCAGCAATACCCATGCCACCCACGCGAAAAAACTAGACAGCAACAGCCCCAGAAGCAGCAGCTGAAGAGGGCGGCGACGGCGAAGAACGAGTTGAACTGCTAGATCCCGCGCCTGTCCTAGTGTTTTTTTTGCCTGGTCCCAGCCTCGCGGGGCGACCCGTGCCCTCGGTCAACTCTTTCACTGCTTTAACCTCTTCTTCCCTCAACTGACACGATGCTACGAACTCCTTGTGCGGGAGAATTTCGGGGCTGTCTGGGCCACCGTGCGCGTGCATCACGTGCGCCGGCATGCACGACTACCGTCTGGTTTCGCAAGCGACAAGCCGGGCACTCCATGGGCACGTTCGTGCACGGGTTCGTGGCGTAGAACTTTGCCGCCGAGGACAGCCTCAACTGAACGTCGTTGGTCGGCGTTGCCCCTTCCTTCCTCGGGGCGTATCGGCACTGCGTGGATATCTTCTTTGCCTCGTTTTTGTTGCCCTTCCCGACCAAGGAGACTAGGGACGTGCCGGCAAGTCCACAGAAGCCGCACCAGCCCTGTCGCGTGTCCCAATCAGTGATCTCGTCAAAAACAATCGGTGGACAAAGGGAAGTCAGGATCCTGTCATGTCCTTGAGGGGGAAGAAGGCAAACGAGCGCCTGCGCAGAGAGAAGCACGGTACCACCGTATGCCCACAACTGCATATTGCGGAGACCCGAAGCAAGCAAAAATACCCCAAGGGTGACCTACCCTCAAAATCCACGGACAAAAGGTCACTCACCCTCAGTGGAGTTTGCAGCAGGTGATGTTGAGCGACGTGTGCCCGCGTGTCGGCAACCGTTACCGTGTCAATCCCGCACAAGAAGCATTCGACAGTCGACATCGCTCCTCGCTTCCTAGTGAGAGCAACGCTGGATAGTGCAGGACGACGGCAATGGCGTTTGCCCGTTGCCATGCAGGCAGAAAGGGTAGTCTGCGACGGGCAGCCGATTGGAGTCGGGCAGAGTATACAAGCCTCCTGGGCATGGGGGGAGTTGGCCGTCGTCTACATCGTCGACGCTGCCACCCCCGCCGTAGCTACCTTGCTCCATCTCGCCCACCGTACCGCCTTGCTCTTCCGCACCGTCGCCTCCATTCTCTCCCGCACATTCGCCGACATACTCTCCCGCATCGCTGCCGCCATCTCCCACACAGCCGCCCTCGTGCCCTCCCGCACCGTCGCCGGCGGCGGGATCACTCGCAGGTCCACTCTCATCGTCCGAGAGTACCACAGTGCACCCGGGTGCCGGCCTGTTGGACCCCGTGTCCACGTCGGGCTTCTCGGACTTACGTGCTTGTGGACGCCCAAAGAACGGAAGAACGATCGATGCGATGCTTGGGGTAGACGCCGCGTCCTTCCGTTCCTTCTCCTGCTTCCTGTACACGCGGCGAGAGCATGTAGAGTTCAGTTAGAACTGCGGGATTCTGTCGTACTCTGTAGGATAGGCAGCAGTCTATGCGTCCTGATTGCTCCGACTGCTGGGAGCTGTCATGGGTTTTAGGAGAGAAATCGATCTGTCTATTCGACATGAGGTACGCGCTACAAGGGATAACCGTATGCGACGTATGACACCACCATGATGTATACGAAGTATAAATGTATACGAGGAAAAAAAATGACACCGTGTGAGCGGCTGTGTGGTACGGGTAAGGTGGTCGTTGGCACCTTTTAGTTTGATCGAACTTCAAGTACTACTGCTGTTAAGGGCCTTGTGGGGGGCGCCTAACAAACAAGGGGGTGTGGTTACTTACGTAGTTTGCACCCGATACGTCACCCCCTGTTCTGAATGGTAAAGGCCGAATACTCTGGAGTGCAACAGTGACGGTGCCGAAAATTGCGGCATTGAAACCGTCTCCTCGAGAGCTTTCCCAAAACGTACTGTTTGGTGTTGACATCCTCTTCGTCGTGGAGTACTCGAGCTTTGCAAATCAGTCCAGGGGGTGTGGTATCTTAAGCAACCTGCTGAATGTACAACAGCAGGTAGCATGTGAGTGTATCTAACCACGCTATAACACGGGCACCAGCAGACACGCTTGAGCAGGTGTATGGCTCTCTCACTCTAGTACTGCACCTGTGTTCTCCGCCAGCGACGTGGACAGCCACGTTCTCCGGTAGCAGCCCCGCTGCTTGTTTGAAGTCGTGCTTGCAGGGACAACCCCAATGCTTCCGTCCCTTCTTGAAGACAGGTCTGATGCCATCAACACCTCGTTAGACCTCAGGAATGCTACAAGTACTATGTGTGGCACTGCCCTCTTCCTCGACCAGTGGTAGTTCGGCGGTAGACATGGCCTCCAAGATACGGGTGCACAGGCGCACACTGGCTGTGTGTAGGTTGCCGTGCGCGCGACCGCGCGAGCGCGGTGAAAAAAGCGCGCGAAAAGTGTCGAAACCCCGGGGATTTGGTCAAAATGTCCCCTCCAGGGACATATAAGGCCCATCCCCCCTCCCCCCCCCCCAGCGACCAAGCTTGCAGCGTAGCCCAGGGGTGTTCCGAAAATTCCATATGGAGGCCCCCTTGACACAGCATTGCACAGCACCCAGGTTGCAGCACCCCGCACATAACACACAGAGAAGAAGGGGGAGAAGTGTATGGGACATGGAAGCAACACGCCCTCGCTGCTGCTGCTGCTGCTGCTGTGCCGCAAGCAGCAACAGCTCAGCTGCTGTAGCTATAGCGGGAGGAAGATAGGCCTGGTGGAGCAAATAAGAAGTTACCCCACCGGTGGAGCAAATAGCATTGCCTAAAAAAAGAAAAACACGCTGTCTGACAAGACGCTATGGAACGCGGCCCTTTGATGGTTTCCACTTGCTACACTTTATGACCGGTTTGATGTTTCGGAAGTGTCCGACACAACGGCAGTAGCAACGGCATCCATCCGTGGGTGTGCGTTGTTGCCTCTTGTCGGGGTGTTTGTTAGAGACCACGAGTCGTGGGATGTTGAAAGCCGATGTTGGCGAGAGGGTCGACGGCCGTTCAAAAAACATCCCCCGCTGGGACCCACAGCATTTTGCCAGTTTTCCGCCCGCCACCAGTTTGATTTCGTGGCGACCTCTCCTGGTGATTCTCGTGTTTGTTGTGGTGGTTTGATACCGCGACAAGCTGGGAGGCTGAGAAACGAAGTTTGCAAGGGTCGACTGTTGTTCGAAAATTGACATATAGCTCACTGCTGAACAGGATTCTTGCCATGTCACCGGTGGATGTTCAGTAATCCTTCTCTCTCCACTGACAGAATCAACAGCAATGACGCAGCCCCTCAACTTCTAGCAGGACGGGTGATGATCACGCGAGCGAGATAACCAATACATTGTCCGTCGATATGTGTGTGTGCTGGCGGGATGATTATGATTGTTTGCTATTATCTCTTTGTGGGTCTGAACAAGGGTTGGTTAGTGTGTGTCAACTCGCCAGCATGTATCTTTCAGCGCGACGACAACCACGTATCAACGGCTGGGATGGCAGCACAGCAGTGCCCCAAGGTTAGCTCGGAGGCCTTGATGAGCTCGCTATGACTAGCACACCAGTACTTCCTTCGATAAAATTGATGTTTGTCCTGAATCTGGGCCCTGACCACGTTGTCCAGGCACCGGACTGTCAGAGAAGGAGTGGGTGTACCCATTCTTGTGCATTCCGAAAAACAAATCGACCAAACGTGCTTGAATTCAAAATACAAGCGATGTTTCATGGCACGACGATCCTGTACGAATCAAGATAGCACGATATGTGACACAAGCTTGTGCAGGCCAAAGAATTCTGTTGTTCAGGTCGGCTTCGCCGAAATGGGTCAATCGCTCGGTTATACCTCGGGGTTTTTCTGTTGAACGGTGTATTCTCCTTTGGCAGCTGCTTTTGGGTATTACAGCCTGTACAACGATAAGTCTGAAACTACGGAAGTCGGCCCTGTCAGTCGGACACACACGAGCGTTCTCTCTACTGCAGTCCGATACTTCTAGACATGTATCTACACACAGGACTGCGACTCACCAACCAAGGGGGAGAGGAAGATGCGTTGGTGGGAGGATCGCGACTGCTCGTCCTCGATGTGCCGGAGACTGTGTAGCACAGTATCTCACGGCGGTACACAGCCAGCAGCATGGGTTAGAGACGGCTTGTTTGGCTTGGCTGGCGTGTGAAGGGGGTACTTCAAGGTAGCTCATAAGGTTTGGTCGTGCATTTCTCTCCTCTCTCCTTGCGCACCTCCGTGCCTACTCACAGGCCCGAGTTGGAACGGATCTCATGCGTTGGGAACGGCCTTGATATGTCCACGGCTGCTGTACAGACGTACAGTCGAATCACTGATATATTTCATGTTCGTGTAATGCCAGTTGCCTTCCTCCCGCCAGGGCAAAGAAGGGGAAAAGCAAGGCAGGGCAGAAGGGGCAGTGAGCCTCACACGCAGCTCACACGGCTCGCACACACAAAACTCTAGAGACAGTAGTCTAAGCTCGCAAAAACTAGAAACCGTCACTATTGGAGGGTACACACAGACAAAGCCCGTACATACGCTTCATCCGGGGACGAAGTCGTACTCGTAACAACACAGCACAGAGGAGGAACGGAGAGCTTATCGAGGAGACCTTCTTCCTTGTGTAGGGCCCAGAGCGATGGGGAGGTCACTGCTGTAGCGCCTTTTCTCATTTCTTGGGGTGGATCCCATTAGGAGGTGCGAGGTGCACGCAACAGCGTGCCAGCTCCAAGGCGCTAGTTGCAACGGAACTCACGCTTTGGTGATGGATTGGATTGGACACTCGTCGAGTGGACTGCAGTCCTGTAGACTCCGCGAAAACTCGACGCACCGCCGACGTCGTCGGGGAAAACAGACTAACCTACTCTCGACAATATTGTGTACGTACGTAGGAACGTACAGTCCCGATCACAATCACGCCGCATGCAGATTGCGCCGCAGGCGGTATTTATCCGCTTCCGGCCTGGCCGTGACTCTAGTTGGTGTGATGTCGTTGATGAGAAGACTGCACAATGAATGACACAAGCTTCGAGGCTTGTCAGAGAAGACGGAGGAGCAAGGACCCCTGCAGTTCTTCGTAACCTTGGCCAGTCGGTGAGTCAGGGCTGTTTCGCTCGGATTTGTTCTTCCTCGATTGTACCTTCTGGCGGCGTGCGCGAACACGGGAGAACTCGGGCGGTTGATCGCTGGATTGATGAGTGCTGACTTGTAGCTCCTGTGGTGCCAATCAGATGTATGCAGGTACCGGTGTTGCTGTGTTGGCAGTTCTGATCAGCTTGGCAACAAGACACACTCTATGAGTGCCCCACCCCGGCTTTCATTCGATGATGCAGATGTTGAGTTCTAGCGTCTACATGTGCATGGGGCCCTGCCCACGATGCTACTACGCAGGACAATTATCGACGCAGCCTCCCCTGGTGAACGTTTAGCGTCCGCTCATCGTAGGTTGGACACGATACCACATCCTGAGTTCCAATACTCGATTACAGTTAGCGACCATTCATTAAGAACCTCTAGTGTTGGTCCAGGCTGGAGTTGTTGCAGCAGTAGTTCCTGCTATTTTAGAAGGTTGCGAAGGCCAATCATAGGTTTCTATTGTAGGCGTTGTTAACCGAGCTCATAATGTGCTCAATAGCACATACTGTAGATTTGAGTTGTTCGAGGCTCAATTATTTCTGAACGGCCAAGCTATCTAAGTGTGGTCGGGAAATACTGTATACTCATCGACAAAGAGGAAGCAGGCATCAAAGTTTAAAATTTTGACGTTTTACCGCTCCGCCAATTTTCCTGGCCGTCACGATGTTTTGTCGCAGCATAATGTAAAGACTTCAACCCACCCCCTTCGACTGCGATGTGGTTATATCACGAACGGGCAGTCTTTCTTCAATTTTATGTACATTTGTTGTTGTTGCTGTTGTAGTTGGCTTCACAAAAAAAAACGTTCCGGTCTCCGCTCAGTACCTTCTAATGTCCTTACTGTAACAGTCCAACTGACGCGGACGCCTTCCTTAAACAACAATATCAGAGCTTTGAAATTCAGTCAGAGGGCGGTGTGGTATATTGTGACATCGATGGAATTACCACTTCTTTCCATCGTCCAAGATCGAGCGTTGGTTTCCCGAGGGCTTCTTGCAAAAGGCGACCGCATGTTTTAGAGAAGCACACACGTTCTCTTTCTCTTGGGCTGAAGCCTCCAGCCACCGGGGTTGAGAGAGAACCAGCAACATCATACGTGCCGTACATCTGACGTCTCCGTTTGTCGCACATACTTATTCGACCAACTGGCTGTGGATGTCCTTGGCTTTGCTTTGCCACAAGCTGTGGCTTGCTCGTCTTGGCGTTTCTTCGCAAGCTTTCTGAAAGTCTGCCCTTGCTCAAAGGTGGGCCCGGTGCAACGCAGGTCTAGCCGCCGATTCTAGCCGTAGTACAGTCGCGTGTCTAGGAAGAATTGTGTGCGTGCGTGTGACCGTTGCCGATGCCCACTTACACCCGTACCGGGAGCAACTGGACGAAGTCTTGCCTCCCGTCACATCACCTACAGTATATCTATTATTGTGAAGGGGGGGTTGTTGGCCCGTCTTCGCCAGACCCGTCTGTTCAACCAACGGTATTTCTCTGCGGTGCCAGACGCCCGTCGGTACAGAGCCCGATGCTGCTCTACCACGTCCAACGAGTCGTAGCTTGGGTAGCGTTGAAGCCGAAGTTCTTTTGAGTGCCCAAGGTTGGTCCACCTCCACGTACTGTTGTAGCTTGGGTAACGTTGAAGTCGAGGTTTTGTGTGAGGTGTGGTGTTTGAGGAGGTGCCGTGGTGGTTCCGATGCATTGCGGTCCCGAATAGCGCGGTTCCCGATGTATCGCGGGAAATATTCCTTAGCACATCAACCTGGCGAGCCTACTACATTTCTATTCAGGGAACCCCAATAGCGCGGGTCCCAATGCCGCGGTGATTATTTCTTTCACTCCACAGCAGTATGTCGGGAACCGCTCCTGTTTCGAATCTATCTGCGGGGACTTTGGGGTACCACTTGATGTGGCGAGGCCGCCCACAAGGGCTGCGCCCAGTTGTGCCCCTGGCTGAGTCAACCTAATTTTCTCGGTAAACCTCGGGGGTCTTGTTGTTGTCGTCACACATTAAATACCGTTCTGATATATCTACCCAGTACGTTCATCTGTCCGTACTGGTCTAGCCCTTGAAGCGGTCGATTCCCCTGGTCACAGGTTACCTAACCCTAGTAAAGTTAAACTCAAATCAAATGGACCGGAAGGATCCGCAAGCCAATCGAAGTCAACGACAGGCAGTCTGGAGCCCTCCGCTCCCCTCGACACGCGATGTGGGGCTCGAGGGTGCCCGGTGGCGTTACATGCATGTACATACCGTAGCAGTAGTTGTTATTGTTGTGGGATTTGTTAGATGCATTTATAACCGTTCTGATCTCTCTGCCCAGTACCTCGTCCATCTGTCCGTACTGATCTACAGTACCTTTTGACGTGGTAGTGGTCCCGCCATAGTTGTAGCGACAGTTATAAAAAAACACCGTGTGATATCGAGAACCGCGCTATTGTGGAGAAGTCTCTAAACAGTAAGTAGCACAGTTATGAAAAAACACCGTGTGATATCGAGAACCGCGCTATTGTGGAGAAGTCTCTAAAGAGTAAGTCAGGAGCAGGCTGCGATGTTGTGCCAGGGAAGGTTTCCCCTGATACGCATCGAGAACCGCTCCTTTCGGGACCGCTAGGTATGGGGACCGCCACTGGCCCCAAGCCGGCCACCTTGACAGACTCCTCCACTTGCTGCAGCTGGCACCATGTGTTTGATGTGTACAGTGGGGGGGGGGCTGTTTTGCCGGTATATGCCTAGAGACACCGGCACGTTTCCTACTACAGAAGGACTTGGTGATTCAGCCTGTGCCAGCCGCACAACACCGGCACTCTATCGGGAACCGGCACGAAACGCCCCCCCCCCCCACTGCACTCGCGTTTTCTTTCGTGCGGCCTGGATTGCATCTGTTGCCCCCCTCGACTGATTCGCCTTCCTCCGCCCGGGTGATGACGACTTGTCTCGTGCTCGACACCGACCGGGGTTTGGTCGCACCAATGGAAAGGGAAATGCCCACCCCAGCCACCGCTGTACATCGAGGGAGGGAGAGACCATGAGGGTGTTCGTAGCTGCCACTGCTCTGCCCTTCGTGGTCTTGGGGTTGGTTTCATCTGCGTCAGGTGCGGGCTCATAGACGCGCTCTCGAAAGTCCGTCCATGGGGTGGGCTGCTGAGCCAGCAACCTTCGCAGGGTTCTTCGTAAATTAAGTAAACATGTTGGATAAAGTATGAAATTGGGGAAGTTGGGTTAGGGGTAGGGTAAGGGGTAGGGTCAGCGTACCCCCTCGCTGTTCTATTTTCCTCGCGAACCCATTTTCTCGCCAAGGCGGCCCTCCTGAGAGCACAGAACTGCTGCGCGCTGGTCGTGAGGAACCATTTCACGCCGTTTCGGTGAATCATGCGCTCGTTCATGCCACCCGCCCTTCACAACAAAAAAGAAGTCCACGGTACCGACAACGGGGAGGGAGTGGGAATAAAGGCACCTAACGTTGAAACGATGCCAATCGACTTTGATCTATTTCGTGCCGACTACAGCATACTTGCTTGCGTATGACGCAGAATAACGAGAGGGAATTCATGGGGAACGGGTCTTATTCCTACGTTCGTAGAGGCGGGAAGTTTCATGAAAACAGCCTTGGAAACACACTGTTGGTGGTGGCCGGGGCTAACGCGGGCAACGAACATTTCCCGCCCTGGCTTCAACCTCATCCCCAAAACTGAACGCCGTTCCTCATTGGTACGCTCGACAAATTTTGACCACCCGTGCTGAAGGGCAAGCAGACGGCTGCGAGAGAGTGGTGGTCGAGGTATCAACTCCGGAACATGCCACTCACTCTGGGAGGTTCTACCAGGCATGTATCTGGGACTGATGCAACGGTGGGGGGGGGGGGGTACTCATAGTCGTGCATGCCGTAGTCGTTAGACCACTGACCTCGCATCCCTACAAAGCCGGGACGGAGCACGCCGGGTTCTCACCGGACCAGGCTCTCACATCACCAAGCGCGAAGCGCCGTGAGGTATTTGGCGAGTCGCATGAAGGGTGAGCTGCATCCTGCTAAGGGTATTCGACATCTTGTGCTTACTTCCTTGCGTGCGGATGACACTTAATTTATTTTCTGGTGCTTTCACTTCCAGAGACAGTTGTAAGCACTGTGTAACTGCCTCGAGGATGCTTGACCATTTTAACACAACGTGGTGCGATCATCCCCCTTTGCGCGGAGTGAGGCCGCACAACATGATCTACTCGACCACCATTATGGTTACCGCCAAAAAAAAAAACGAGGTAAAAAAAAAAAAACGGTAACCTGGTTGCCAAGTTCACGGAGTGAATTGGCTTGTTTTACAACGTCGTTGCCAAGCGACGAAAACCCAACCCCGATGGCAAACACCGGGGGGCGGTGGGGGAGGGGGGGGGGGTCGTACTCTTATGTTTTGCATGCCTTAGCGGTTAGATCATTGACCACGCGTCCTCGAGAGGACGGAGCATTGTTCCCACAGGACCGATCACCGATGGCCAATCGTTCCTTCCTACGTTGCCAAGGGTGGCTCAAAAATGTCTTCACTAGTCAGTCAACGGCACTTCTGGGGCGAAATCGTATGACAGAAAACGTTTTGTCCGGTGTCGGTGATCTTAAGACGCGACCAACAGGACTTTTACGTAAAACAGGGTGTCTGTCTCCCTACCCGGAAGTGTCGGATGAGGTGACGACCCTACAGTAGCATCGCTCCTGGCCAGCAGCGATTGTTTGCCCCCGAAGACGAGGGAAAGTTGACGAAAATACGAAATATAGTGGGGAGGGGGGGGGTGTACTCATTGTCGTGCATGCCGTAGTCGTTAGACCATTGACCTCGCATCCCTACAAAGCCGCGACAGAGCACGCCGGGTTCACACCGGACCAGGCTCTCACATCACCAAGCGTGACGCACCGTGAGGTATTCGGCGAGTCGCATGAAGGGTGCGCTGCATCCTGCTAAGTCTGTTCGACATCTTGTGCTTACTTCCTTGCGTACGGAATAGAGTGGGGGGGGCTCAATACCACCGTCGGTATGTGCCCGAAGCATTGATCGGCGCTCTAGTCAGAGGGACCGCCGGCGCTATTTCATGTGCAGAATGGCTTGGGTGATTCAGTTTGTGGCAAGCAATTTCACCGGCACTATATAGGGCCACGGCGCTATTCAACGGGCGCTATTGAAGCCTCTCTCGCTGCACCCTTGACCGTAAAAAGGTTCATTGTTCACCGAACCAGAAACATGATTTGAAACCGCCTGCCTGGACGTGGGGACTCGTGGAACGGCTGAAAAATACCCTGGAAACACTTTACGCCCCACCGCGGGGTAGGTATTCGCCTCTTCCGGCTCGGTTCCAATTTTGCGATGGCACCGCCTCAGAAATGTCGGGATACTCCTGTTTTGAGAAGCCAAACACGCGTTCCTCTGTCCTGACCAGTACACGAGGGGTGGCATGGACCGTTTGTTTTGTATTTGTTAACAGAAATACCCTACTCTTGTCATTGTTTTTGCCGTCGCCCGATCGAACGCTTTCCTAGGTCGGCACGTCGCTGGAGGGCACGCCGCTGCTCAAGACTGACGGCGGGCTTTGCCTTCAATTCGTCGAAGGGGGCTCCGCTCGCGAGGAAGAGCAACCCCCCCTTTTGTGAGTAATACTGATATCACATTGTTCATCATGTAGCCTTTTCCGTACGGTTCCGACAGGTGTAGACAGCAGCCCGTCGCCAGCAGCAGCGCTTGTCGCCAAAATTATTTCCTGCGCCTCTGACTTCCTCTCTCAGGCTCCACGTCGGCGCGCACGCAGCCGCGGACGGCGAACCTCGCGACGAAAGCCTCGATTTCGACATGTCTGACGTGTCGGAGGAGGAAGAACCAGTTTTTCGCCGGTCTATCGCGGCAACATGTGAGCACTGCGGTCTGTGGGTGAGGGGAATCCCGGGGGCAGTGGCTTGCGAGTACAGTAGGCGTTCAAGGTGGTATCTCGGCCGCGCTAAGGCCAGGTTCAGTAAATATTTAGATGAAATTCCAGTATTGTGTACAACTCCGTCATTTTCATGTTTGGGGGGGGGGCGGGACGAGGCAAAGCTAGTTGGGGTTAAATATTCGCAGCGAGATGCGTTTCGAGACATACTCTTGCGTTTTTCGAATGGAATCTGCCGGGGGGCAATACATTCTTTGCCTGTCCCCAGGCGTCCTTCCCTCTACGTTCTGTCGCGCTTGCGTCGGTGTTGTCACGCACATGGGGGGTAGGAGGCGTTGGGTCTGGGTTGCCTACACTATTAGCGGGGAGGCGGTATGTTCGTTTGCTGCTCCGATTTCAAACCTCGCCTACCACCTCTCGGTCGACTTGGCACGAAAGACCAACAACGGAAATCAGAACTGCGCTTCTCGTTGGCTAGTCGATCATCGATTTATTGACGGGCTCATGAAAACAAGGAGCCGAACGACAAACACGATTGGAGCATCTATTTGGCGCTGTCCTCGCCAGGATGCGTTGGTCTAAGAGTATACCAACCGCGCTGCCCCCCGTCGGTAAGTCTCGAGACACATGACGGTTTCGAGTCAAAATGCATTTTTAAGAACTGGCGTCGTTCGAATCGCGCAGGCGGCCACTGGGTGATTGGCAGGATGGGCACCGCCGACGCTGCATTGTACCCGATGATCAAGGTGAGATAAAGCCCATTTGCACCAGGGCGAGGGGGGGGCGATGGAGAAGCTGGTGGTTGTGAGACGCCTCATGAAATTCTGAAGAAATGACCACCTGCTATCGGACAACCAACCGCCATGTATGTTTTAAAAGAAGGAAAAAAATAGAAGCCAGCTTGATGGCTGTTTTTTCAATCTTGCCGAGGGATTTTCAGCCGCCTTGTATGCATGCCTATCGATTGACCGCCTTGGTCAGACCCCGGACTGCCCCGAAGTTCTCGTGAAATACCGTAAGTGGCCTGGCTACTTTAGTCATGTATATGGTGCGAGACAAGAGACTAAATAGCACACCCCGGTGAAAATATTCCGGCTTCTAACCAAAAACGTCACCGGGTGTGATACTGCTGTGTGGGGTGTGAGGTACCATATGTCACCTTACCGCACGATCTGAGAGTATCGCAGTTTGTTCATCACTTAGGTTCACGGTGAACAGGTGGTATTGCCTAGTGCCATGCGGGGCTGTTGCTCTTGTGGGTTGGGCGGGGAGGTGCCATTTTCTGTGGGTGTGTTTACCTTGTGTGGCGTATTCGGCATGCTCCGGTCCTGGTGGTTACCCGTACAGATTTCAAGAAGGGAGGTGATGGGATGCGGTCCTGAATCTGAAGCCGCCGTGATCTAAGCCGAGATCCAGATGTTTGCAAGTATTCCGCACAGTAGCGGCTACGGTTGAAGAATGGATTGGGACGGGCCACCAAACCTCTCTTATGTCCGCGGTTTCTGTTAAACGTACTTTACAACGTTTACGGAACAAGCCAAAATCACTCTCGAAAATCCGATTTTCTCTTGAATATTCTCTCTTTCAGCGGTAGCTGCTACTGTGCGGGGAATCCAGGGACCCAGAAGGCACACACCCCCTGGAGCACTCCAAGTTGTGTACATTTCGACATTTTGTTGTACTTTTCATGCCGAACGTACGTCTTGCGTTTGTTGTTGTTCGGCGATCCAGGTGTCCGACTGCGCCCGCCATCCTGCCTTCATCAACGAGGATTCCGTGTGGTTCGGCCAGGAGTGCTTGGATTGCGAGGAGAGAAGCACGATTGGAAAGGTGGGGGGCAGAGACAGAGACGACAGAAAAGGAGAGATAGAAACAGCAGACAGGGAGAGAGAGAAAGAGAGAGATTTGCGGGCGCCCAAACATTCAAGATCCTGCCTAACGCAAATGCGCTATGAAGGAGTGTGTTGGCTGGAGAACGTAGAACATGCCTTTGCACTCCGTCCCGCCCAAACGCTCAAAACCCCGAACCTTACCGGGACCCTAACCTGCTAAAACCCTTGCATCCTCCGGCGTTGGGAATACATCCTCCGGTGCCTCTCATGGCAGTCGGTGGAAAATGCCATATTTCCCTTTGTGGATGCGTCCGCTCGCGACCGCGATGTCATATCTCCGTACCCGCACCTCCCAACTCCAGTCCGCCTTTTACTCCTCTAGGTTCTGCCTGCGCTCAACACACAAGTAATTCGCGTCGCGCTACTTTCCCTCATCCCGATACCAGCTTTTTTTCTCTACCAGGATCAATGCGCCTGTCCTTGTGAACATTTGTTTGCCTCTGTCTTTCTGCCTCTTTGCCTCTCTCGGCCTTATCTCTCGGTCTCTCTATCTCTTTTGTCTCTCTCTTTCCCCCCTGCCGCCCCTCTGTTGATATCTCTGTCTGCCCGTGTGTCTCTCTTACCTCTCCCGGTATCCCTCCGTCTCCTTCCCTGCTAAGCATACCCCCCCCCCCCGCCCCATCTCCAATCCCCGCCTCCCTCCCTCTCTCGGGCCGTTGTCAGGTGACGGTCACCACCGAAAGGTGCCCCTGCAGCAACAAAACCTTCGAGCGCACCTCGCAGGCGCAAGCAATGACAACCCACGTGGCCGCCGACCTGAACCTTCCGAGCGTCGCCCGCACCGAAAACAACCGCTCGCCAGCGCGAAACAACGAGGTGACGGTGCCTACTCCTGTCCCGACTTTAGCAGCACCGGTCAACGAAACCTCCTCGTCGCCGGGGGTGGTAAGCGGTGATGATGTCACCACGAGTGATGCCAGCAGCGTGATAGAAGGGGGTGACATCGCCGTCGGCGTTTCCCTGGGGGTGGGCGCGGCAGTGCTACTCATCGCCGGCATGGTGGCCTTCCAGATGAGGACGTTCCTTTGCGCCCGTGCTGGATGAGCGGCGTTATTATGTCCTCAACGGAGAGGGCATAGGCTCTTGGAATCGCGAGTTTTTGAGTGCAGTCTCAGAGACCGTGCTATCATGTTTGATCGGCGAAGGATTTCGATCGATCAGGGAGATTGACTCAATGCCGGATTTGTTTTGCATAGATCACTGGGTTGATAGCGGTAACCCGAAGAGCTAGCATCGTTGCTTGCTGGATGTAGATGGGAGGTGTTCGTAGGAGTTCAAGGTGTTTGAAGATGGGTTGTTTTGGGGGGGATAAGTCAATGGCTAACGACACATGAGCTGATATTGCTTCACTCTCCCCGTCAGTTAGAACACGGCTTATTGAGAACAAAGTTCCTTTCGGGAGTAGAATAGTGGCGGCATGTTTGGCCAGCGAGGTTCAAAGCGTTGCACCATGCTGGGTGATTGAAGCATCATATCGGTCAAATCGTATGGCCACCATGTGCAGCTACCGACCCCATGCCATTAAATCACCAGCAGAGTTGGCCCTAACCAGCTACTTGCCACACGAGAAGACTATACTTGACGTTATTGCTGTTGTTGTTGTTGTTGTTGTTGTTGTTGTTGTTGCCTTTGTTGCCGTCCGACGTCTGTTCGCAACGTCCTTGTTGCTACAGCTTAGGATAAGGCCACACATTGTACAGCTGCATTTCCAGTTGGTATTCTCTGACATGGCGGGGCCTTCTCTGCGTCTTGTGAGCCGCTAGTTGTGTGAGCCGCTAGTTGCGCGTCTGTCTAAGAACGTGCAGAAACGTTTTTTTCGCCCGCAGCTCGTTTCTTTTTCCTCTGTGCGGTGGCCATTGACGTTTCATGATTTATTGAGGGGTTCTTAGTTGAAGACCTATTATTTTGATCAGCCTCTAACTGTATGTATGTCAAAAGATTAGTTCTGCATTTCTCAACTCGCACGTCCTTACGTGATGACGCATTGTGCATCAATCACTTGTTTCATTCACCGATGTAAAATCGCTGAAGCCGTGGAGTGCCAGTTGCTACAGTTCTGCTGTGAGTAGATCCCAATTTCACGTCGGTGTGTGTATGGACGGGCCTTCTTTCCGTTCATCGATCCATTTTTTGCGCGTGTGCACGATTTTATCACGACGTGCTGCTGGCGAAATCGTGGAGACACAAAATTTCCGTTCGAAAACGTACAGATTCTCCCAACAGAGGCAGGATGCACGGTTCGTACAGTCTACCATTGATTTTTCTTGGGAGGATCTTTGCTTACTGCAGGAAAGGGTGGTGGTCAATGTGTCGTGCCCGTGGTGTGCTGTACAGCAGCATAGGGGCCGTCGAAAGTGTTTTAGCGTGGTATCACAGCAGTAAGGGAGCGTGTGCACACGTGTGACGTACGTATGAGTGCTACAGAGTAGGAGGCGTTGATTACGCTTTGGCACAGAGCATCATCTGTCGCTGATCCGTGCACCCGCAGATGATGCGTGCGACATCGAACGCTGTAGGATGCAACAAGAATAAAAGCGCGTTTTTTTTTCACACACCACCGATTTGTCGTGGTTACACACATGTATATGTGAGTCTTGTTCTCGTCTGTGCCCTCCCCATCAGATTGAGCATTAGCCGATGGTTGTCCGTCTGTGCCTACCGCTTTCAAGAACGTCGTCGTAAGGATTGAATGCAACAAGATTTTATTCACGCATAATGTTTTGCACACAGGTTGACACAGGTACAGATTGGTTGCGTGCGAATCATAACCTCGTCTGTGTCCTCTATGCCACCTTGAGACGCACTGAAATTCCGCGTTTGCAACGCCCCGGTGGAAGGGAGACACCACCTAAAAAGCGAATAACGTAGAGGACCAGCACGTTTGCCCGATGCAAGCTGCGATACCACTTCCAGGAAAGGGTGATGGTGAAAAGGTGAGTTCGGGCTATGGTGGTCTAATGACCTGTTCCCTTGTGCGTCCTCATCTTGTCATGTCGTTAGAGTTCGGTCTGTCTACTGTGGCAATACGCCCCGGATGAGAGTTGGTAGTTCTTGAGAACGACAGCAGCCAGGGTAAGTCGTAGTTTCTACTTGAGTGGCTGTGTCTGCAAATCATTCATCGATCTGCACTGCCTGGCATTCGACATTATTTACCCGGTGGACCAACACCTTGAAAGTCCGCTCGAAATACGCGGAATGCGGTTCCCAAGGAAACGCTGATCGAAAGATAGATGCCGAAAAACTGCAAATTCACTGTATCCTACCTCGGTACTCTGTAGATGCCGTCCCAGAGGGATTTGCAAAAGAACGTTGTCGCTTGCTTCACCAGGGAAGTATTGCGCGTCTCCCACGAATTCGAGAATAAACATGATCTGCGATGGTTGTGCCTGCTCAAAAAAGCGCCCTCAAGCTCCTACTGTGTGGAGCTATCGCTCCAATGTCTACCCGGTCCCTCTGTCCATCCCAATGCACCACTCAACATTCGCACAAGTTTAGTTACTCATGGCGAATCGTTCAGAGTAGCAAATTCTCCCGTGTCCTGGGATCCTCTTCGCCTCGCGTAAGGAAGTTAGACGAGCATGTGACACTGAGGCCTTTCAAGGGGTTGTGCGGAGAAAAAAGGTGTTAAAAGCTCTGCGAGCCAGCAAACCGCTGACAAACTGACATGCGAAGATGCAAAGCGCGGGCCTGGAAACGGGACTGTCAAAAAAAATTATCACGCCGCATTGTGCGGGTTCCCCCGAGCGGGAACAAAAATGATGTGTCTGATGTGTGATCGATGGGATAGAGACATCATCCGCACGCGCGCCCGTACACAATACATTCTACCGTCATTTACAACCACAAGCCACTTTCTTCCAAGCACCAAAGAAAAGGTAAGCCATTGCCCCAGCAGCATGGCCGTGGCCGATCGAGCGTGTGTAGAGTTGACATGTGACGATTGTGTCTGGTGGGAAAGCTGTCGCCTTCGGTCAACACGCCTGTTTTACACGCACCCGTCGCTTCAACGTAATGGTATCAAATAGAGGAATTTGATGCCACCTCCTAGGAAGGAAGGGACCAACGATCCCGTATGCAGATCAAGCTGCCTTTAAGTGCCGCCACCACCTCCTGGTCAGGCTGCTGATAGATCGGCGGCGTGGTCGAATTCTGTTTAACCTCCTCGCGTCGGGTTGATATTTTCCGAGCTTCGTTTGTTGGGTTCTCCTGGAACAACCCCGTCAAGCTGTGGGGTCGAGATGGCCTTCCCAAGTTGATCTTCCCGATCGTTCATTCCAAAGCGGCTGGGTCTCGCCAAACTGCTAGAGTTCCATGTAGATACGTCTCGCGTTGAGCAGCAGTAGAAGCGACCGTATGCATACACGTTTGGAAGTCGCCCGGGAAAAAATTGGGAGGTGTTGGTATTTGAGCGAGCGCGCCAACCACGACGAACAGGCGGGGTGATTGGCTTGATTTGTAGATGCTCAACATTGGCAACAATACTCTGCCGCGCTTGTTAATGACTCCTCCATCTAACGATGCTTCCAGCCAGTCTTGATTCTCAAAGAGGTCGGCGACACGGGAACATGGTAGGACCCTGCTCAGCTACACCCGATCATATGCCGTACATGTCTGATCTTGCCCCTGATTGGGTGGTTTCAGTTTTCACCACGAAATGGTGCCCGGCTCAACCGCTCTCGTGCGCGTGATGGCCAAGCGCGTAAGTTGAAACCCTAGGGTGGCTGTCACAGGTTCAAGCTTGATCTACGAGAGATCTCGCCGTGTGTGATACTCCTCAAACACCGGGTGTTATACACTACATCCATTGCACGGCAACATACGGCTTTGTATCTGTACGCAACTCCAAAGACTCCGGAGACTCCAACGGTCATCAGAGAGTTTTGAACCAGGCGATGAGTAGCAAGGGCCCCACTCATCAAACCTTTGTTAACTTTACTTTGAAAACCTGGTGTTCTCATTACGGCGTCTCTGCTGTGTAGTCTAAGCTACGATAGGTCGCACGCAGCCTCGTCCGGTGAGCACGTGCTAACAACCGTCGGCGAGTCTCACGGAAAACAACGTCGGGGGAGCGATGCACTCTCAATAGTTACGTTTTTCTCGATTTTCTGCTCTGTCCTGCCTTGCTTCCTCGCTTGCTGAAGTTGTCGTTGGGTGGCGATTGCGGTCATAGCAACGAATATATAGCGATGGTGGACTCCCGGCTGCCCCAGTCCCGGCGCGCAATCGAACCCTTTCTACAGTACATCGTCTGCAAGAAATATGCCACTATGTCATTGGCCCTGCCGTTTCGATTGAATGGTGGTGGAATTGAGTCTGCACAAAAACCAAAAAACGTTGTTTGGCGAATTACTGGGAAGGAGGAGGGCACCAGTGTTCAATCCAACCCCATTTCATCCACTGTAGCAGTAGTCTACGCAGCAAAATTAAATAAAAGCAAACGTATGGGATTAAGTATTCAATCCGTGCTTTAGGGTTAAGGTTAAGGTTAGGGTTAGGGATATAGTAGGGGCATGTCACGGGGAACGTCCCTGATGGATGCGAAGGGTTCAACTTTAACACACACGGAGACGCGCCCATCAGCTGGAGGCAGGTTACTTTGTGCTCGCGTCCTTGCTGACGCAGCAACCCGACATGTTTCGATTCCGAAGGGGACGACTCGGTCAAAATGGTCAAACCCGAAATGGTATTTGAGGAAACCCTTTGTTGGTAAGTTAGCCTGTCGCCACGTGAATCGCTCGGTCAAATGTTTGATTAGAAAGGATAAATAGATGAAGGTTCTGGGTTGGAGAGATCGGAACAGCCTTTACTGTGAAAACAGCAACAGCATATAGTTCCTTGTGGCGGGGAAACACCCAGAAGTGGTCTATACGGAGTATTCGCTTTGCTTCACCGCCACGCTGTCTTTCGTTGATTCGGAGGGGTGTGCGCAACGGCGGTACTATCTAGGCTATGGCGCGAAGCTTTCATTGTCGTACCGCGATGGACTTCATTTAAACATTTCTGGGGCCCGGTAGCGAGGAGGTCGACATCTCAAATTATACACCGTCAACCGGGTGGAAAGTGACGGTTCAACACACAAAGCATTCTGATAGGCTCGGCAGATCAACACCACAATATCAGAAGTTGGGCTTTATAAGAAAATTGAATACTACATAAGTCAAAGATGTTGCGAGGAGTGTCAGCAGGAACTCACAGGAACTCCGAAATGAGAGACAAAATCAAGCGATATATTCTTGACCCCTGCTGTGGCTTGTTGACTCGTACAGATTTTCGACATTTACGAAGATGAAGGCTTCTGGAACGTGCGCGGGTATGGCTTTGTTGACCATGAGACTGGCTGTTTCGGCAGCCGCCACCACAGGTATGTACGTGGGCACATGTCCACACCGACGTTTGTTTGCTAGCATCGCATCGACGATACCAAAACCAGGCCAAAGGTCCCGCCCACAGTACCAAAATGTTGTTGAATTTACATCCCAAAGACATCGGTATCGCCGCTGAGGCGTCACTTGTCCAGACGAGTCGGTGTGTGATTTTGCCGTTTGTCGCAGCTGTAGGTGCTGTTCCGGAAACTTGACCCCCCGCACATTGGTGGCTAAGTTGGTGCCAAAGCAATCGTCACCAGAAGCAGCAGCAGCAGCAGAAGCAGCAGCAGAAGCAGAAGCAGAAGCAGCAGCAGAAGCAGCAGCATCAACTGCAGCATCAGCACCACCATTACCAACAACAACAACGACAACAACACCTCACGCCACCGTCCCTTGCTTCGCCCCCGATCGCCCACGCCACGCCACCCACTGAACCCGCATTTTCTATTCTTCTTACGGGATTAACGTAAAATCTCTTGACAACGATGGTGGTTGATGGTCTCTCTTCCGATCTACAGAGACGTGTCAGAAGCTGGTGGTCGACGTGGAGAGCATGTCCTCGGGCACCCATACCGGAAGTTTCTACGAGGTGACCTACTATTTTTTGTTTGTTGTTGTCTTCACTTGTACGAAAAAATACACTGAAAAGTGTGGTACTCTACATACACTGAATCGTGTAGTCTCACCACGAAAAATGGTGGGACTGCCCCCAAAACAAATTGAACGAAAACATTGACACCAACCCTCACTGCTTTGTTGGAGGTTATATATTCTTCGTGGTGTTCCGCTGCCCTTCCGTTATGCTGAAAGGAGATATGTTCTTTGTTGCCAAGACACACGCGCGCGTCGTCTGCTACACGTATACGCGTCGTATACAGCGGTTCGTCGTGATTTCCAATAGCGTTGTTGTTGTTGTTGTTGTTGTTGTTGTTGTTGTTGTTGTTGTTGTTGTTGTTGTTGTTGCTGTTACTGTCGCTGATGCTATGGATATTGTTGCTGTGGCTGTGGCTGTGGCGTTCGGCCTGGCTGATTTTCGGAACTTCGGGGAGTATCACTTGCTCTTGATTCGTATTCCATCCATATATATGCTTGATACCCCTGTACACCGGCTGCCGGCTGTTTCTTAGAGCCGTGATAAGGCGATGTGTACACCCACCCCATCCACGACAACAGCACGTTGGCGCGGAAACAAAACGGGATAGCTGCTGTTCCAAATAGAAACAGACCAAACGCTCCATGATGAAAAGGGCAGGTCATCGTGGGAACGAAACGCCCTGCTGTTGCACGTATCGAAAACCGAAAACGATCGAAGCTATGTACGTACCCACGGTGCCGAGAGAGCTGTGGACGCCGAATACCGTAGGTGAAATAAGCAATCACACATCCTCGAGCGATTTTCAAAGCTCCATTTCTCCACAGCAGAAAGAGTATCGTTACCCAAAAATGGCGTTGGAGAGCATTCCGAAAACGCACCACCGTTTGAGTTAGGCACCATATTCGTCGTGGAGTACTGCAGTCGAGCTTTGAAATCGGTCGAGGGGGTGTGACATTTTAGGAAGGAATGTCACTTTCGGTAGCGGAGACGAATAATTTCGGGCGGTCAACCCGTGTCTCAACAACAATTCGATGTATTGGCTACAGACGGGGTAAAATTCTTAGCAAACGCCGCCCCCCCCTTTTTCCACTGCCCCATGAAAACTCTCGACCCCCCCTTTACCTCCGTGCTCTCGAGGACGTGTGGACAATGGTCTAACCGCTACGGCATGCCCCCTACCATAGGTCGGCACGACGTCAGACGGTAGGCCGGTGCTTAAGACCAACGGGGACTACTCCCTTCAGTTCATCGCGGCAGGCTCCATGGACGACGAAGACTACCTCACTTACACGTAAGCGGCCCGGGCGCTTCAGTCTTGATGTGTGGTTATCACTACCATTGACCGCGGTAGGCGGCTGATCAATGAAACGACAACAGTCTCAATGCGGTTGAAAACACAAAATGCTTCTAAAGCCCATGATCTGGGACCCGGTGAGGTGGCGTCATGGGGGAGGCTGCGTTGGGTGTGTGTGTATTTATTATTGCGTAGGTGTGTGTGTGTGTGTGTGTGATTTCCTCGACATGAGAGTTGGGGCTAGATAAGACAAGGCACTAGCGGGGGATGACTTTGAAATTGTATTGCATAACGACAATGCTGTTGAGAAAAAATACACCATTTTGTCGGCTACAGGCAGGAGTATCAGACACACACTGCGTCCTTTCCCGCCAACGATACGTAACGAACACTGGAACCAATCAAGTGTGTAGGAGGACCAGGCACATCAAAGCACAGCAGGTATGTGCGTGTTTTGGTTGCGCAGCTGTTTTTTCCATCCTTCTGTTGGCCGCCTCGTCACATCGCGCACCGGTGTGTGGCGTTAGGCGTTGGTGGAAAACGACCCCAAAAATATATTTTAGGCCGAACTTGTGGGGGACTTGTGGTGACTTCCCGGACGGGGTACAGTACATAAATCGGCGGTGGAAACAACACAAATGAAGATGATCGATAGCCTCATGGAATATATGGTGACCTAGCGGGAGTGGTGTCCCTGGCACCAGAATTAGTTCGCTGTACATCAAAATCAATATTAGATCTCGTTTGAATCCATTGCTACTCAATCCCAGACTCTTTTACCGGCGTAAGAGGTGAATTTGTCGTGTCAAAAATAAGAACAATAAGCAGAAGCAAAAATCACGAATATCACGGAACGAACCTTTTGCTTTCGGGCTACATCACATGGAAACCCTCTTGAATATTTATGCAACGATCGCTCCGCTCCACATCATCAATAATACTGTCACTGCTGCTGCTGCTGCTGCTTCGTTCTGCTGCTGCTTCTTTGTGCTGCTGCTTGCTGTGTCTCAGGGAGCCCGACGCCGATTCGTTGAACGAGCCCATGGACGAAGACCTCGAGATTGAGCTCTTGTCCATTGCTGACAACGAGTCGTTTCGCCGATCTCTCACAACAACATGTGAGTATTGTCCTCCTGGCTACGACGCTTGGAGGATGTAGTTGAGGGGCGTCATGGTTTTCTTGGTAGAGAAGGAGGGGTCGTGGTTGAGAACAGACAGCACTCGAAGTCGAGCTCTGGTTCATTGCTGAGAACGACATGTTTCGCTGATCTCTCACACCAACATGTGAGTGTAGTCCTCCTGGCAAGTATACGCTTTCGAGGATGTTCTGGAGGATGGCCCGTCATGGTCTTCTCAATGGCTTGGGGGGGATGTAGTCTCGAAAAAACACATGGCGTCGTCGTTAGTCCGTTGACCTCGCGTCCCTACCATGCCGGGACGAAGCGATATACCGGGGTTTCGTTGGCTCTAGGGTGTCATAGTTGAGTACAGGCCATGCCTACAGCTATATTGTGTATCGTTGTTCACGGTTGTTCCATGTAAACAGAACTTGCTTCAGAACTAAACTTCCTTGGTACGGTCGGGCAAGGTCTGTGTGTACGTCTGCAAAACACCACATAAACGGGGTGATTTGAAATGAGGCAAAGCGAAGTGATTACATAGCATTGCTGGGGGGGGGCGGAGTGAGTTTGTCTTTCTCCTTCGAAAGCCACGGTACAAGGGTACTGTAGCAAAAGATCCCTAGGCATTGCAGCGGAGCAGAGCGGTCGCAAGGCTCCACTCTGTCCACGAAAACGCCCAGTGAACAACCCGTTGGTGCGCTACCCTGTGTGTCCCATGCCGTATCTCAGTCCGCTGTTCGCCTGTTTTCAGCGCCCGGGACGATGATGCTGACACTGTCTACAGAGAAGATCGAGACGAAAAAAAGCTTAAACAACAACAGAGGCAGCAGCACCATATTTTCTTGTGAGCAGTAACAGGCACTCTACCCCTAAGCAGTACGACATTTCTCTCTCTCTCTACAAACAACACCAATACACATAGTAACTTGATCCTCGTCAACAACAACAGCAACTCTTCAACAAAAAGTGCACTTGCACCATTCAATCTTATTTTTTCACGCCGTGATCTGCTGCTCTTACCCCTCAGGCGGCTACTGGGTCATCGGCAAAATTGGGGACAACGACGTCGCCATGTACCCGATGCTCAAAGTGGCGGATTGTGCGATAGACCCGACCGCTATCGACACAGACTCGGCCTGGTTCCTCCAGGCGACTCATGAGAGCGAGGAGGACTATTCCATTGGAGAGGTGGGGTATACAATGACATTCTGTATCTGCTGGTTGTCACCGTGAAGAGGAGAAGTCGACCGGAGTTCGTGCGGGGCTCGGGGGGGGGAGGGCGATGATAGCATTTTCAATTGAGTAAGGATCTAACCTCCCCGATTCGCTGTGTGCGCTCGAAACACGGTTGAACTCTTGGTCTCTTGAGGTCAGACAGAATGGTATGCATGGACAGAACGGTACAGACACAGACGAGCGAGGACGTGGCCTCGAATGGTTCGATCTTTAGCGTGTATTCGCTACCCGTGTCTTGAGCTCACTCCACACGTTGCTCGTCCTGCCCAAGCACGTCGCATCTGACGTCCTCCTTCCTGTCGTGCCCACAAGAAGTTTCTCTCTCTCTTTCTTTCTCTCTCTCTCTCTCTCTCTCTCGCTCACTCTCTCTCTCTCTCTCTCCCTCCCTGCCCACGCCCGTTTTCTTTCTAACCAGGTGACGATGACACTTGAGGACTACGACTGCGACTCCTTGGAGGCGGCTGCGGTTATCGACGGTGATGGTAACGAGGATGAGGACAGGTCCGTGGATCACTTGAAGATTATTCGGTTGTTGTTTTGAGCTGAAAATAACATTACAAATACAACATTTTCGATATTGAAAACGAAACAGGAGGTCAATCTTGTGTGCGTGGTGATGGTTGGTGGTGGTGGTGGTGGTAATGCTATTCTCCGACACGTTTTCTACAATCCAACTTAGTGTTTGCTCTTGCTCGTGGTTTCGGAACCTTGAAATTTCAATGACAATCGTTGTTGAAGCGGTGAGTAGACTCTGGCGGTAAGCCCTTGCTGTAGACTGGTCCCCGCCTCTGTAGAACACTCTGTACACAGTAGTTCCTTCGTTGCCCGTCGTGAAGATAGTAGTTTTGAGAATGTTTCACTCCACAAAACGTTTGTTGTCCAGTCGCAAAGGTTGAAACATGACATTGTTGGTAAGACATCGACATGAACCAAAGCTACCACCAACAACCACAGCAACCTCGACCACATACGTTTCATCAACAACAGCACCTACCAGATATACCCGCAACCAGAACCAATCACAATCACGTCGTGGTGCCACCACAACCAATAGTACCAATATCTAAACGCCTCTCTCCACGTGAGATGATATTTGAGCCGAGGCCGCACGGAAAAGAAACATTATTGACTAGAACACCTGTGTACCGATTTAGCATGTGACCGAAGAATAGCACCAGTGGTGTCATGCAAAAAAATAGCACCAGTGGTGTCGTGCATTCCTTGAAGCAAAGACTCCCCCCGTCTGAAGGCAACCCCCGCGTACAAGATATACTGTGGTTCTTCGTGCACCCACCTATTGTTGAGCTCGAGCTCTCCCTGCCTTGGCATTTTGATTCACAGCTCTGTCGAAGAAGAAGAAGAAGCAGATGAAGAAGTGGAAGATGCCTCGGTCAGCAGTGGAAACCAGCTCGCCGTGGGCGGCGGGATGGGTCTGCTCAACGTTGTCCTGAGTGTTGGCATGGCGATGCTTGGCCTCGTATCTTCGTTGCCCTGAAGAACAGGAAGAGAGGGTTTCCTTGCCGGGCAACCTGGGGTTTTTAAAAAGTATGAACCCTGCTTTGTCTGTATGTATTTGGTCTACTTTGTAGAAGTCTGTCTGCTGTGATTTATATTGTACGGGTTTTCGACACCGTTGGTGGATATTATTGCCACCATCGTCATTGATTTGTCGATTTTCATTCCGTACAGTAAATGTGATGTGTTGCCTTCTTCGTGTTGTTTGATACGTTGCTCGATGTGCACTGCATGCTACTACTGGGCGAGTGCAGAATGCAGTGGAATGTTCGGTGATGCTTAGACTAGAATCAGATGTGTCCGAATTTGTCCTCTTGGCAAAAAGGTCCTGCAGAGTTCGTGCTTGCATTTGAGTGAACAGTTTCTCCAACTCGGAACAACATGAGTCCCGTTCTATATTCCTGATGTCAGCGATGACGTACTGTAGATCGAGGAACTGATATGACGATTTTCGTTGGAAGGAATACGAGAAGAAGCAAGCCCACGAGACAGGAAGATTTGAAACAACTAACTGCGGCTTCAGTGTGTTTCAAGAACACAGCAGCAACTGATATACAGTTGTACGAGATGGGTTTTTGATGAATCGATTGTGAAGTGAGGTTTCATTGTGAAGACATTTCGTTGTCGTAGCACCTCAATGATCAAGACACGTACGTTTTGTTCCTCGAAAGTCTCATTTCATCCAATCGGATGACGCCGTGAGTGAATATTGTGACAATGTTTGGAGTTGGGACCCACTCCGATGGCATTCCTTCCGTCGTCATCATGGAGGCAAGAAGAATGAACAGCGTTCATTTGCCGGCGAATTGCGTGTATCCTCCTGCAGCATGCGTACGATACAACAGGCAGTGTGCGCATCTTCTAAGTCTCTACTACAAAAAAAGCGAAGTATCGTCTCTCTTGGTCTCGGCATCCCTCAACAGAGGTCCCGTCCTGAATGCTTGTTCTGAGCGTGGCGGACATGTCTCTACTGCGGGAGTGAAGCGTTCTTCGAAAATTCATATCACTCGAATATGAATTTCGGAAGCTACCCGTTCGATAAACACCACCATCCAAGAGATTCGCTAGAGAGCTAACGTACTTGCCTTCTAGACAAGCCCATCTATTAAACACACAGCACACAATAAAGTTTATTTTCAGCACTGATTGTACACAGATGTACATCGAAGAACGAAGAACGCCTGCTGGACCCTGGGTATATTGTGAGCCTGTTGATAAGCCAAATCACCAAAGTCTCGTGAGTGAAACGCGGAGCAACTTCCACAGTCGAAGGGAGGTGTTGGAATATTTTTCGTGCGTAGGAGGAGAATGCCTGCTGGATTATATCTTCCGCGACGGAGTGTGTTGTCTGTCTGACAGCAGGGTCTACGGTTCGGCACCACACATACACCGCCCTCGACAAAGTATAATCCCAACATCAACATTCTCTACCCGGTTTTTGTCCCACTCGTTCACACCCCCTTCGGCTGTGGTCGAACCCGAAGGGTATTCTTTCTGTTCATGCATGAATTTCCCCCGAACGTGATACGGGCAAGTGCGCATTCGCGAACGGTCAAGGGTCGAAGGTTATGTCCGGGACCGTCGTACGTACGTACATGTGTATGTCCATATGTCCATCCCAACCCGTGTGTCAAGTCCCTGGATATTGCCGGTTGCCGAAATAGTACCTGGGCGTACATTGAATCGCTTTATCAGGTCTTTATGTTCTGCACATTGAATAGTGCCGGTGAAATCGCTGGAGACACCGGCACAACATAATCTACTGTTGGTGTCAAATACCGATAGATGTCATCACCTAATCCCAATAGCCCACTGCTCCCAAAAAAAGAGACGTGGCAGGCTAATGTATGAGCAACGCTCCTCGAGACCATCTCATGTATGTACTCTCGAAATACCGGCAGCGGCAAGGGCGGCAATGGCAATAAACTGGAGACTCGTGGACTCTTCAAAACTAAATTAATACAAGTAGACCATGCATACATTCAGAACATTTTGTGCCACGCGTCGTACTCACGAACGAACGAGAGCAACGAAGATTGTTGCACGGTAGGGAAACGCACGGGCGTCGAACCCCGACAGGCAAAGAGACTATCTCCGACAGTAGTAGCCTGAGGTGCATCACAGCAGCAGCCTGACATATACGGTGGTACACAGCGGCTCGGCTCACAACTCAGCAAGGGACAAAAAAAAAAAGTGATGCAGCACCGCACGGACCCTCTTTGTTCAACCGCCCCGTCCGGGTGGCGACACGGACAAGGCCGCCGCTTGTCGGCCACAGGAGGAGGAAGCTCGTCAAACTCGGGGAGGGTCGATGATCTGCGATTCCCCACCGAACCATGCTCGAGACTCCGCGAGATTTGCATTGTAGCTCCAGATCAGCATTTCGGGACGGGTCGGGCAAGGGGTGCGGAGTCGAATGAATTCCACCCACCCACGGATATTGGTCTGAGGAGCTGAAGCAAAAGCTTCAGAATTTCGCGTGCCTCCCAAAAACGAAAACTGGAAACACTGCTCGGAATACAGAGACCTAAACAGCAACTCTGCTGATACTGGCGCTGCTCCCACGCCGCCATGTGTCCGGTGCTGTTGGCCCATCATTTGGCAAGTTTCAATGCCAACAAACGATACAAACCCGGAATAACTGTGCTGTATTCTATAAACGTTTATGGGGAGGAGTGAACGAGGGGAATCCGCAGGGTAAGGACGCTCAGAGCTACACAGAGCCAATCCCCGTGCGCTTCAGGTTTCAAAACCTAGTGTGGCCGAACGGAAACGTCGACGTGCTCTCCCCAGCCATGGTCGAAGCCTGGAAGCATGACTGGAACATCCATCGGTTACGAGCCGCTGCACAGCGGCGATGTACCTACAACAATACATCCAAGGACAACAAAACTGGAACAGGAAACGACCCCCTTTGCTGGCGTCGTTTCCGCAATTTCCCTTCCTTGTGTAGGTCTCGGCGGTAGCAGCAGCCCAGACCACACAAACGCCCAAAAACACCTCTACCATTACTTGGGACCCCGAAATACCGATGGTTATTCGACAGAACCGTGCAAACTTTACGTGCAAAATAAGACGATGACCAACAACGAAATGTGCAAGTCTTTCATCGTCGGCGCTTCTTCTTCCCCTTCCCGTTTCCCCCTTCTGCGTAGCCCCCCCCCGACATGCTCCCGCCCACGGTTCCCATGGCGCGCCCAAGAGCCCCCCCTCCCCCCTTCTGTTTTTTTCTTCCCCTGCCGGCGCCCCCCCCGAAGACATCATCGTCTCCGCCTTCCATGTCAGCTCCAAACCCATCTACCAACGCCGCAACGAACACGCCGGCAAAAAACGAAATAGATACGTCGTCAGTTAAATGAAAATCCGTTTCGAGGGTGGGTAGAGACACCAAGATGGAGCGCGGAGGTTGGAGACAGGGAGCGGCCCACATGATAATCGGCAAGGACACATGATGTGGTACTGTATAACAACAAGCGATGAACCGCACTACGCGAAGATAGGAGGGAAGATAGTGCAAATATCATACACCAGATCCGGAATCACATACACACACACACAATGCTCGGGCGACCCACGTTACTCGAAAAACCATTCCGAAACAGAAGAATTGCGCGTGTAACGTCGGGGGCGTGTTCAGGCCCAAGAAACGAATCAACAGACCAATTGCACGCGGGGTTGGTCGAGGAGGGAGGGTGGGGGTAGCGGCGCGGTCACGTCCAAGGAGTCAAGCACACTTGAACACTCGAAGGAGGACCCAACAGGGGATGTGGGGGGGGGGGCATGGTCCACGCAAGAAACACCGTTGCAGTCACGCATCATGGCGTCAGTTTCCGCCCCCTGTTGGAACAACGCGCCAAAAAGCAGGAATTCCTGTGCCTGTAGAGCAAAGTGGAAGGGAAGAAAGAGTCGCGTTTGTTCCCACTGGCTCTGCTCCAAACGCTCGCTGTGTTTGCTCCATACCCTGGGGCGACGGGCGGTCGGGCGGCCTACAGATAAACCACACCACAAACTTACCCGCGTTCTTGGCGACTCGAATGAAGTCGGCCGCGCTGCCGACGTCGGCGATGGTCTCCAGGCGACCGGCGTCCTTCTCCATCCTCGCCCTCGCCTTCTTGGCCTTTCGCGTGACGGTCTGCAAAAACACACACATACGCACACACATACAGTTTAGCCTACCCCATGCTGCCCCCTCACGGGGTCCCAGTCCATGGCAGATAGAAGTGTTTTGTGTTTTCAACCGCACTAGGACTGACTTCATTTCATTGGTCAGCCGGTTAGCGCGGTCGATGCAAATAATGAAAATACACACATGTGCGGGGCCCCAGTTCATGGCGTTTAGAAGTGCTTTGTGTTTTTCAACCGCAATGAGACTGACGTCTTTTCGTTGGTCAGCCGGTTAGCGCGGTCGATGCTAGTACTAAAAAAACACACACATGAGCGAGTTGCGGTTCGAAATGACATTGTGCTCGCATGAGCCCACGCTGGGGGGTCCCCTGTACAGGTACGTACACATCACGGTCGCGTTGCGCGCAAGTTGAAGCTTCTCAGGTCAAAGTGAAGAATTCGCATCCTCATTCTCTTGGTCGGACTTGCAGAATCGATGATCGTCACAGAAGCAAAAAGGCAAACCCGTGGCTGTAAACACACATGGACGAACGGCATCAGGGCGTACCTCCCCCTCCAACAACCTCCACAAGGGTGCACTTCTAAAACGTGAAAACAACACAACTACCTATTAGAGAGGTCGAAATAAAAATCGAAGAAGTGGTGTGACACTCCAAAGTTCAGTATAAGAAGAATAATGTGGATACAAGTTTCACCGGAATTGAACTATCCCTCACAACACAAAAAAAAAAATTAACACCACAACAGGTCAAGACATCGTCGGCGTGTCGGTTCATGTCGAAGTATACAGCAGTATCTCTAGGACATCGCCAGAGTTGATAGGCTTCTCAGGTCAAAGTGAAGAATTTGCATCTTCATACATTTGATCGGACTTGCAGAATCGATGATCATCACTGAAGCTCTGCCAACCGTTTAGCCAAAATTGCCGCCTGAGCTCAACGTTTCCAACCGTAGCCAAAAAGCACCACCAAAATTCCGCAAACCATGTACAGCAGTGCCGGGAACTGTACAATAGAAAAGAGTTCGACACCGCCGAAAAAGTCCACCTGTATCGAGTATAAAAACATACCGTAGGAGTATGAATTTCTGATAGGTCCCAGGCACGTAAGAAATGCCAGCGTGACTGGGAGCGTTGCTACCAATAGGTTGGCAGGATGCACGCTCACAACTTTAAAAGTCATTCGGAGAAACCTAGGTCCGCGGGGTACGTACCCGCTCATAAAGCTTTTGATGTGATCGGGGGTGATACAAAAAATAGGTGAGAAGGCTGCACGCTCAGAAATGTTAAAACCTGGCTCTGACACGATGCGGAGGGTCGTAGGGCTATTCTGATTATAGCCACAATTTTCAAAGCAAAGTTGTAGACACGCAACGCAGATGATCCCCGAATCGAAGATGTGCTCGCCTTGTCCCGCATAGTCTAGACGTTTGAGTACACCCACAATACAATACATATTACTCACGACGAACAAAGTTTATTTCACACACAAGATTCGAGGTATGTCGAATGATACGGCAGCATATCTACGATATCACGAGAGTTGATAGGCTCCTCAGGTCAAAGTGAAGAATTCGAATCCTCATTTTTTCTGTCGGACTTGCAGAATCGATGATCATCACTGAAGCTCTACCCACCCTCAAGACAAGATGCTGCCTGCGCTCAACGTTTCCAACCGCAACCTTAAACTGAAGTACAGTGTAAGGGGATGTCTGCCATGTGCCGCAATGAATGAGCCCAGAAAATAGACCGGCACTATATCGGACACCTGCACTTTTCAACCGGCACTAAACAGGGCCCCTCACTTCACTCCAATTTCAGAAAAAACAGGTGCACCAGTGCCAGCTACGATAGAAGAGGGAGCTCGACACCGCCGACATAGGTCTCTCATATCCTCGGATTGGTCTCAAACAGAAAGATGACACATACAGTACCGTGGTATGAAGTTCTCATGGGTGCGCATGTGGCACGCTCTACGTGACCGGGAGTGTTGCCACCAGTACTGCAGGTTCGCAGGATGCACGCTCAGAAACATTTTACGGGGTACTTACCCGCTCGGAAGGCTTTCATGTGATCGGGGGTGTTGACACAAACAAGTGTGAAGGTCGCACTCTTGCGCGGCTCTGACACAAGACGGAGGGTCGTAGGGCATCTCTGACAGGCCATACTTCAAAGCAGAGTTGTAGGCACGCAACGCAGATGATCCCCGAATCGAAAGTGTGTGCGCGTCGTCCCGCCCAGTCCAAAAGGTTCAGTCTTACATCCAGTTCGCTGCAGTCAGGGTCAAAAACGATGACGAACAACCAACAAGGGCAAAAACAGGCAAAGACACGAAAAACAGCAACCGAACTTTCCGAACTCCACGAATTTCCGAAATCAAGAGCAAGTGGTACTCCCCGATGTTCCGAAATCAGCCAGGCCCAGCGCCACAGCCACAGCCACAGCAACAATATCCAGAGCATCAGCGACAGCAACAGCAACAACAACAACAACAACAACAGCAACAACAACAACAACAACAACAGCAACAACAACAACAACAACCGCAACACGGCTCACCAAGCGAACCATGTGGTCCTCTTCGAAGTCGAGACGCTCCTTGTCCTCCTCCAGCAGCTTCTTCATCTTAGCCTCCGACACACCCGAGGCCCCGGCGTTCCCCACCGCCCTGAAAAAAAAAAAAAAAGAGAACAAAGAACACAACGAGCGTTGACAAAATCGACCCAACGGGAGTCAGCACTTGTCCGTACACAGAACATGCTCAATAGGAGATCGCCCAAAAAATGTGCACAATTTACGCTGGAAAAGGTAAAGTTGCACGCTGTACGCCGCAAAAAGGTGATGCACCCTAAGCTTGTAGCCCGCCGCCCCCGGGGTTCCGGCGTTCCCCCCCGCCCTGACGAATGACATACTATCCCGAATATGGGATGCATCATTGTTACGGTACCCTCGGAGTAATAGAATGTTGAACTATCAGTCAAGGGCTGTCCGATACGTCACTGCCATGCCGAAAAGATAGAGCAGTTTAAATTAGATTAAACACAGAATATGGAATATACCGTAGCCGGCACTATTCAGAGGGACCGGCACAATTTTAAGTTCTGAACGACACGGTGATTCGGTCTTGAGTGACACCGTGATTCGGTCTGTGCCAGCCCAAAACGCCTGTACCACTCAACCGGTACCACTGAGGGCCCTTGTCCGTACCCTGCGCAACGCGCACCTGACAGTCTCGGGCTGTTCGCCGAACTCTTCGCGAAGGGTCTCCATCACCTCCCCGCGGCGCAACTTGTCTCTCCGACGCTCCAGCCTCTTCTCTCCCCTCACGGCGCCGGTCGACAGGCCGTCCTCATCGTAGGGCATCGAAGCCAGACGCGGTGCTCTGAAAATAGGAACAGAAAAAAAAAAATCAGATAGATATCCGTGGAAGCCAGACGCTCTGAAAATAGGAAGAGAAAAAAAAAGATTCAGATGGATATCCGTGGACGCCAGACGCGGTGCTCTGAAAATAGGAACAGAAAAAAAAAGAATAAAGAAAAAAAAGATTCAGATGGATATCCGTGGAAGCCAGACGCGGTGCTCTGAAAATAGGAACAGAAAAAAAAGAAAAAAAAAAACTCAGATATCCGTGGCAGCCAGCCACAGGCAATGTTCTGAAATTACGGGGGGGAAACAAAAAAATCGACGATGTGGTAAGACGTTGGTCCCAGTTCATGGCCTTTAGATTCGTGTACCGTTTTTCAGCCGCACTGGGGCTCATATAGTTTTCGTTGATCTGCCGGCTTACTATTTAGCGCGATCGATGCCAAAAAAAAGAACCACACACAAAACAAATCCACACAGGCATCATCAGCATCAACTGGTCGTACGAAAAATGAAACGCGCATAAACTCCATTATCTAATAGCTGTTCCTCTGCAAAACCAAGCAACGAAGAAAACACACACATACCGTCCACACACACATTTATTCCGTTATAAGACTGACGTCTACTCATTGTCCAGCCGATTAGCTCGGTCGATGCCAACCATCAAACACAGAGAGAAGTCTCCTCATTGGCCAGCCGGTTAGCTGGCTCGGTCAATGCTACAGTAGTCATCAAACACACACGGAGACAAGTCTTTGCATTGGCCAGCCGGTTAGCTAGCTCGGTCGATGCCCATCATCAACACACACACACACACACATAGCCCATCAGCTGTTCTTCCTGCAATGCGAAAAAAAAAAAAAGTGGCGTACCTGTATAGGCCCTCCTGGTCCACCTCTCCTCCTCGCCCGGCCGATGATGACGACCTTTTCCCATCGATTCCGCTGTCTGCAGGCATACAGAGAACACATAGCATATGGTGAGCTAAGGCCGTCACGATTAGTTTGAGTCAGCTGTCGTCAAGGCGTCAGAGATGAAATCCACCGACTAGTACTACGAGAACAAAAAGAAGGCAGCAGGGCCAGCCAACAGATGACTGACAGCTGTGATGACATCTCCCAAAAGCCCAACAGATCCGACAGCTGGCATGTCTCTTGACTCGAAGAGTCCCCAGCGAACGGACCACAACGAACGAACCCAAACAACAAGAACTCAGAAATATGTACAACGCACCAGCAATCTTAACCCACCACAAAAATACAAAAGCATAGGTATGCACATCCTGTTCACGACGAAAAAACAATTCGTCTATTTTCGCGAATGCGCAGCAGTAGTAACATCTAGCTAGATTCTACCGGTAGATACCTTCTGCCGCTGTGCTGGGGTCTTCGCCCCACGGCGCCATCCCCTCCGGGCGAGGCCTGAAACTCAGGGGATCGTCGTCGCCACCCCCACCCCCCACTTCCCCGTCCGCGGAGCCCCCGGCACCGGCAGATGCCGCCACCCGCAAAAGCTTGTCCGTCTGGTACTTGAGCTTCCTGCCTCATCCGAACAGCGACACCACCAAAAAATCATGCAGCGCATGAGGTCTCACATAAGCTGCTGACGAACTAAAGTTTGGTATGCTGGTGGTGGTGCTGCTGCTGCGGTTGTTGCTGCTAGGGGTGCTGATGCACTGCGGTTGGTTTGCTGCCGGCGGTGCTGCAGCGGCGGTTGTTACGTCCGCGAGAGCGTTTTGGAGAGCAAGGCAGTCGTCAACCGGAACAGCATGTTCCGCTTGGCGTTGTCGATTAGGGAATAGACTCTGATAGAAGCCGACTCCAACACAAAACGACAGACGCGATGTTCCTCTTCATAGTTCTTCACTAAAGTGTACCCTCCAGAACTGAACATAAAACGACAACGGTGTAGGTGCGGTATGTCCCTGAGAAAGCTCATACAAATCTCTTGACCTGAACAGAACGGCAAGGGACAAAGCAGGTTATATCCTCGTCAAAACGCGGCTCATCGGGCGACTACTTGTTAAAATCAGCGTGGAAATGAGCCCAGCTGATTGGTCGACGCCCGCTTCTCCCTCACAACACAACAAGCAACACATGATGATAATACGACAATATCAGTGCGGGTGTGAATACATCGGGAGCAAGTACAAATCGACAAGCAATACAAAATACCTCCAGCTGGCGTGATAAGACATTGCTCGGTAGATAACGACGGAGGAGCAAGAGGTCGACACCACGTAGTACACAAAAAAAAAATCGCATCAATACAACATGGGCACACACAAACACCTGTCCAGCGGCCTGAGCTTCTCCATGACCGTCCGGAGCTCCACCAGCCTCCCCGCTGCCCCCTCCCCTCCCAGGGCCTCGCCCCTCCCCTTGGCAGCTGCGTAGGAGCAGATCTCGCGGCAGTAGCTCAGGAGCAGCGTCTGCTTGAGGGCCAAGAAAGAGGCCCCCTCATCTCTCGGCCCAGGGTCCTTTCGATACATGGATAGAATTTTTGGGGAGGCGCAAAAGCGTTTCGACAACGAAAACAGACATGATTTCCGGTATGGTTAGGCCCATTATCTGTACATTGTTTTTTCCAACAATTTCAGACAGGCTTTGGTTTTAGACAAGACAAACTGGGACAACAGATGTGGGTTATGTCCACGGCAAATTCAGTAGTTATTGTGCACGTATTGGGGGGTGGGGTGGGGGGACCAACAGCGGCGAATGAAATGATAACAAAAAAGTGTAGAGAAGGTAGTTTTCAACAAGGGCGTTTTCAACGATTGTCAAAAGTCTTTTCCTTGTTACAATCGTTGAGAAATGTCACCAAGATTCTTCTTCTGGTTTGTTGCAAGTAGCGTGAGATGATGGCTAAGTCAGCTGAGGACTTTGAAGCGCACAAGCATACATCGCAAGGAAATAAGCAGTCCTTCCATGACGGTTAAATAAGTCATCTTGCGTCTTTGAAGCGCACGAGCAACACCACAACTTCAACAAAAAACAGGCTTCAGAGACTGCTCTTAGGTGATTTGGAGCTTTTGAAGAGACCAGGCATACATCGTCACGTACAAAAATAGTGAGCGTTTTATGATGGCCAAACGAGTAATTTTGAACCTTTGAATTGAAGCGCACAAGAAAGCACATGGCCACTTCCGGGTGGCGGACGCCGGAAAAAGTACCGCCTTTGCGAGGACACTGTTACGAACACGTGAAACAGAGAAGGGGAGGTCTTGAAACCCGAACGCTAATCCACACCCGAAACCAAAACCAAAACCAAGCTTGGGTAACTAAATCAGGAGAAGGCGCGACAAGGAAAGTACCACAGGCCGGGGCCGCAGGCCTCATCCAGTATGACCCTAGGCCAAGAGCAATACTAAAACTACAACACTAACATCAGGTCTACAAACGATTTCAAATTCGGCACGAAAATGGACGTAGGCGTCTGCCCCGATAACATTTTGAAATTGATATGCGCATACAGAATATCCTCGTCAAGGCTACCGAACAAGAGACGAAAATAACGAAGCACACACCTCGTCCATTTCTTCCCGTGCCCGCTCCGCGAGAGACCCCACTTTTTCTTCGACGTCCCTCGCGCGGTCCCTTAGCTCCTCCAAAGACCGCCACAGCCTTGGCTTCTCCAGCTTGATCAAGGCCCTTGCCTCCTACGAAACGGAAGAAAAAGCGACGCCTTAGAGAATTTTCTTGTAAATAATCTCCGGACAAAATGTTGTAAAAAAAGTGGTGGTAGTCGGCTAACCTGTCGTACAACGTAGGTGTTGCCCAGCTACACCTGCGGAAGTTTTTCCGTCGAGCTCCGCTTAGACTGCAGTCCTCTCCCCGGAGGACCACTAGAGCGAGAAAGAGAAGGAATTCATTCGCTTACCATACTTTAGTTGTGGCCTGATTTAGTACATAGCTTGGGAAATGCCACACCGCGGCTGGGAGTTTGTCCTGTGATCCCTCAAAATTGTCACATGGTTCATCGCCCCTTGATGACACTGCTGTGGTTCTCTCATGAGACGCCCACTCCGGAGGGATCAATGGTAAACTGCAGTATGCACACGAGCGTCACTCCAGACCAAAACAGGTGCCATACATGAGAGAGGCGTCTCCCAAAAGGCAAAAAAAGGTACGCACACACGTCGTTGGTGACATGGCGTAAGATATCGCACCCCCTGACCCATTTTCACAAGAGACCTCGTTTACTTCCACTACTGCCGTCCACGACGAAGAGGACGCAAAGGTGAACCGATATGATTTCTGAAAGCTGTCGACCAGACGGCTTCAACGCCGCCGTTCTCGGCGCCGCGACCATTTCTGCTGCGGAGAAACAAGGCTTTCATCCAGTCATGTCACCTACGGTACAAAGCAGGGGTCCGCGAAGGAGCACCTCGACGACATGTCAAGGCAAAACCGTAGAACACAAGAATCCCGCCGTACTGGTTTGTTGCCGCCGTACTGGTCGGTTGCATCTCAGAACTGGGTGTACAAATGAGCATTGTGCAATCGAAGGTCGTCTGTCATACCTATTCAATCGGAGGTCGGTCATGTTTCTATTGTAAATAGTCAGTTCCTGTCCATTGCATCCCGGTATCTGACGTAAGTGTACAGCAGTAGTATTAGTGTAGTTTCGTACGATGGGCACATACCCAAACCCTGGAGCTTTCCCCTCACCTTGTTGATCTTGCTGTCGCCCTCGACCTCCATGTCAATCTTGCCGCTACCGTTGCTGCTCCTCTGATTCTCGGCGATAGCTACACCCCCCGCGGGTTGTTCGTCTGCTGATCCATTGGTGACCGCCTTGGGCAGCTTTCGTCGTTTCCCCTTCGCACCGCTGCTCTTCGCCTTGGCTTTGCTGGCGTTGGCATTCGTGGGGGTTGTCGCCGCCACGGAATCCTCCTCCTTCTTGTTGCTAGAAGGTGCCACCATCTTGACCGCGTGCCGCGATTCCTGTGCGTGTGTGTATTACTGCCCTGCTAATGATGGTTGGAGGGCGTCGCTCGTGGGTGGCCGTAGGAGACGGACATGTACAACCAGCAGCAGCCGGTTGTTCGTACGCGAGGACGCTGTCTTGTCAACCGAAAGCTTCTTGGATGGAACCACGTACGGAAAAAATCTTCCTCTGGGTGCCCCTGGCCGTGGGCGCTGCTGCTGTAGGTACCGGCGGAGCGAGAGCTGGCCTGTTTGTTGTGGAACATGGTCGCTCCCACTCCCACTGCTGCAAACCAAATCAATCTCCCAAATCTCCGATTTCCGGACGGGGGATCATATTTTCGTTCGCGTGCCCCCGCCCCTTGTGTGTCACACAGCACAGCAGTCTCCGGCGCGGGCAGACAGCAGACCAAGCACGCGCTAAGCCGCCTGCTGTACTTCGCACCGGGTGAAGCACTCCGACACGATCGTGTCGGTGAGTGAAGGAGTATTGGAAGGTCCTGTGGTGTTGGCCGTGCTCGCTGCGGGGATCGCGCAGCAGAGAGATAGACCGCCAGCAAAGGGTGGCAGGTCGCTGCTGGGGACAAAAAACGTAGAACGTGCGGTGGTCTCAGGGGACAAACATCAACAACCGGCTGAGGGGCAGACGGCCGCCCGCAGTCGCGTCCCAGAGCTACCGAGAAGAAGTCAGGGGCCACGCGCGTCGTCCGAGACCATGAGCCACAAGCGGCCGCCCGCGGCGGCATACCCCGCGGCCGTGGTGACGACCGTTTGCAGCACCCTGCTGCTGCTGTCCACATGCTCCCAGCAGTGCGAGGGCTTCGCCCCACCGCTGAATAATTGCAACAGCAACAGCAACAACAGACAGCTCTTGTCTGCCTCCGCCTCCCGGACAGCGCTGGTTGGCGGCAATAACGCCTGCAATTCGCCCCGCTTGCTTTCGAGGGGACAACGGCAGCAGCAGCAGCAGCAGCAGCAGCAGCAGGGCGCGTTGTTCCCGAGGCTGTCGGCGGCAGCTGGAGACGGGGACGCTGCCGCTACTGCTGCTACGGCTCCCGCCGCCGATTTCCAGGATCCGCTGCTGGGCGCGCCCGATGCCGTTGCGGCCGAGGGGAGCAAGGCCGCCGCTCCCAAGAAGAGGAAAGCGGCGCCCAGGAAGAAGGTGTGAAGCAGGATGATTAAATACGCTCCCCATCATGAAAACATTGGAAACATGAGCTGCGGCTGTCGCCAGAATCTTCCGCGCGGGACGCGGCAGACATGTTATCATGATCGTGTATTTATGACTGAGTCACGTGTTGAGCATCTGCAATGTATCACGCCAGGAATACAGCAGTAGCAGCATGTTGGGGGCCTTGGGCATTGAGATAAGCGAAGGGGCGGGATGTGTCCTGCAGGAACTGCGAGGTGTTGCAATACCTGGCTCAGATGAACCGCATGTACGCTGCTATAGGTGACGTTAGATACTACACCCCCTAGACCGCTGTTCAAAGGAGAGCTCGATTACTGCATGTCGAACAGGATGTTGAAATCAAACGATAGTTCGGGAAACTCCCGAAGGTACTGTTCCAGTGCCGATATTTCCGCCGCCGCTATTATCTACGCTCTTTTTTTTTTTTTCGTGTTTGACCCGCGCCCCGCGCGATGCGTTTTCCTCCCGCGGCCAGGAAACTTCACGGAATTTGCTTTGAAATCCCGCCACCTACAGATCTAGCTAACCCATGGCATGTCTGGTGTGGCACGAAGAAAGTAAGGATAATGACCAGCTTGTGGTCCACCCTTTTTTTGTGAACCGTGGCCTCCGTTGGGGGATCCCCGGCATACAGATCGCTCCGCCCCGGCTACGCGTTTCCATGAGTGTAGCCCCCCCGGTCTCGCTTTAGGGGGTATGGTATCTAATGTCAATTGTCTAACGACTACGGCACCCTATCCCTAACCCTAACCCTAACCCTAACCCTAACCCCAAAGCACGGATTGAATACTTTATCCCATATGTTTGCTTCATCAATTTTGCTGGGTAGACCTCTGGGACTATGGCATGCGTTTGCATGAGTACAGCCCCCCCCCCCCCCCTCTTGGCGGCCACGTGTTTTTTTTTTTTTTTTTTCAGATGACACCAGAAGAGGCCGCGGCGAAGAGAAAAGCCGCCGCCCTTAAACGGAAACAGATCAGGGACAACGTGAGTGGAACACATAAAAACTCCAGCAGTCGTATCGCAGGCCCTCTACTTGTATAATGCGGGGATGCGCCAGACCGATTCGCCCGCCCCATGCTCCCGCCTTATTCAATGTGTAGAACAGCTTGGTTATTCCGTCTTTGCCAGCCAACTTTCCCCGCCTTATTCGGCCGCCTTATAGTGGGCCTACAACTACTATGTATTTTTACTGCTTGCTGAACATAGATGGCAATATATTTGGTGCCCCATGCCAATATTCTTGTTCGGTACGTACACATCGCCTGTGGAAGATTCGATTTTTTTTTTTTGACGTGTTGCCTCTTACTGACAACGAGAGAATAAGAATGGTAACAATGCATCGGCGACACACTAGACGAGAAATCGTGTGAAACCGCATCCTTGGCGAGATCACTTGGTGTCAGTACTAATGATTGGGCTGTATTGTTGGTTGTGGTGTTTATAGTTTCGTTCGCGATGTTTTAAGTCTGACAGAGATCTCCAACCCTAACGGAAATAGTGGACTGGATGCATGTGTCTAGCCTGTGATTGTGTGCATGTGTAGGACAATTCGGGTTTCCGCAAGACCAAACGTGGCCAGACGTGGTCGTTCTTGAATACTTGCGGGTTTTTTCTCTGCATATCGTATGCGTAGTAAGCTTATTTTATTTTTCCATGTGCTTTTTCAGCGTGGCCAGTGGTTTAACGGGCATCTTCTCTTTGGTCACTACTTTTCTGCAGGCCGTTGTGTTCATTGTGTACCAATCCTGCTTTCCCCCCCCAAAATCCAAACAGAAATTTCGTCCCCTTAGTTGATACAATATTCTTCTTTGCCCCGGCTACCCGTGCCGACCGCGACTCCTTGACACTTTGCCTACTGATTTGTTATTTTCTTAATGAAAATTTACTCGTCGTGTATGCATCTAAAAAATACAGATGACGCCGGAAGAGAAGGCCGCGAAGAAGGAGGCCGCTGCCCTCAAGCGGAAGGAAAAATTGGCCAATGTGAGTCGTGGCACTGGCGCCGGCGCTGGCGCTGCAGTGGTCGTTTTTGATGGTGTGGTCGTCCCTGGTGGTGTATTTTTTTTTGTTTTTTCCTTCGTAAATAGAGTGTCTTCAATTCCGTTGTTGGATGCAGGTTTTTGTCTTGTTGATGGCGTTCCTGATTTGTGGCGTACACCGATGCTGTTACCTTGGTTGAAGTTGGTCGATATCGTAGTGGCGTTCTTTGTCGATGCCGTTGTTGATGTTTGTCGATACAGTTTGTCGGTTTCTTCGTTCGGGACGTTTTTGCGGCGCCCGCGTTCATTTTTGCTGTTGGCATGGACCGCTCGCTGGGTGTGGCAGAAGAGACACAGGCGTACAACAGATACCCTTCGCTCGAAGAGAAAACGTCGACACCTCGCTCGGAAAGTTTCCAGAAATAATTCCTATGGGTGAAGCAATCTCCATCGGGAGTTAGAGTGTGAACTACTGCTTGAGAAAGTTGCCCTGAAAAGCGCCTGCTCTCGCGACGTGCGTTACCGGTGATTGTGTTGATGCACGAACCAATCGGAGGCCACAAGTGTGTAATGCCATGCATTTTCGTATTTGCCCTGATGGCCGAGTCTCTTATGTTGCTGTAGTTTCAGCTTTTTTTGGTCGTACCACAGTGTCCTTTTTTTGTTTTTTTTGCGTCTTGCCATTTTTTCACATGTCCCTGGGGGAGAAGGCCGCGAAAAAATTGTTGTTTTTTTGTTTTTTTCAACTTTTCTTGTATCGCTGATTTTTTCTCTGCTCATCTCTTTCTACGATGTGTCTTGCTGAGTCATTTTCAGATGACCCTGGGGGAGAAGGCCGCGAAAATTGCTATTCCCTTGTTTTAGTTTCAACTCGTTTGGCATGTCTGTGTTGTTCTTTATTGTTATTTTTTCTCTATTTTCATCGCGTGTCTCGTCGTTTTTTTTGTTCAGATGACCCCTGAGGAGAAGGCCGCGAAAAAGGCAGCGGCGGAGTTGAGACGAGCGATGAAGCCCAAGGTAAACCGGACAAAAGTATTGACGTACTTTCTCGAACGGCTAGGGTATTCTTTCTGTGGTACTGTAGCATGTTTCTTGTATTTCAGGCGTTGCGGAGTTTGAGGTCACAGCACGGAGTGACTCGCAACTCTTGCAGTCTCTCGACGGAAGTTACAGGCGATGTTTAATCGTCGTCGCGTGTCTTGTGCATTAAACATCTCACGCCGGAGTAAGTGGCTGCACGTGTTCAAGCTTAGAAACCCAGTCTATTTCGTTTATGCTCCGCGCGCATGAAGCAGCCCACGCCGGAGCAATTTTCCCCATTTTGTGTACGATAGGAACACTTTATGTTCCCCTTGTTCGCTGTGTGCATTGAACCATCAGCCCACGCCGGAGGACCTGGCAACAAGTGCTGTTTTATTGGCGTGCAACTTGTGCAGTGAACAGGCCCTTATGTTTTCCCTCTTTTCCGCCGTGTGCATTAAACCAACAGCCCACACTGGAGGAGGTGGCCGCGAAGAAGGAAGCCATGGCGCTAAGGAGAAAGGAGAAGAAGGAGCGAGAGCAGAGGGAGTGGGAGGAGCAGGAGGCCAAGAAGAGGTTCGAACGTCTCGCGGGCGCCAGCCTGACGATCGAAGACCTCGAAGCCGGACGGGGGACGGCAGATGGCGGTGCCGGGAGTGTCAAAATCTCCGATGTCAGTTACAGAACGTGCCACCACTCACGAACCTCTTGTTTTGTCAGAGGTTTGTTCTTATTTTGTCGATGGGGTACTGCTGTATCCGCACGGCGAATATGTTGTTGTTGTTGTTGTGGTGGTTGTTGTCGTCTTCACATAAAAAACCCTTCCGTTCTCTCTGCCCAGAATACCTTCTTCTGTCCGTACTATAATAGTCTAACACTTGACGGGGTCGATTCCCGTGGTCACAGGCTAACTTACCCAACAAATGGTATACGAAAATATAATGGGCAATACATATCGGTTTTAGTGTAGCATTCTTGACTGAGCACCTGTTCCTACCACCAACTTCTCACATGTTCTTTTTTCCATGCTAAAGTTCTCGGTTGTTGATTTCTCAGTTGCAGTGGCGGCGCGTTCTGTACCGTAGTAGTTCGCATACGGAAGAGATCGCACACCCCTTATTTCTGTTTTTTTGTTGGGGACAGATTTTCAAAGTCCGATTACTCCGCAACGAAAGAGGGTGCCAGTTTCTTCATATGTACAATACACACGTGATAATCATCATGTTTGCTTCTGTGGTTTGTTTTGTGTGTTCCGTGTTGCTTGTGCAGCCAGTTTCTGTGAAGACAAGACGAAAAAGTGATCATTATTGCTGTTGTATTGCGTCGCTTGTGTTCCGTATACACTTGCTTCTAGTCCGCGCCTTCGGGAAAGCGATTGGGCGTCGAAGACTCGGACGAGGAGGAATTCGAAGGGTGGGAATTCGTAGAAGAAGGAGAAGAGGTGAGAAAAGTGAAGTCTGATTGGTCAACGTTGCTCACGGCACTGGGATTGGATGCCGTGTAGGTAGCAGACAGAGGAGAGGTGAAAAGCGGAAATCTGATTGGTCGATGTTGCTCACGACACTGGAATGCATACAAGAGGCAGGAGAGGTGAGAACCGGGAGTTCTGATTGGTCAACAACGCTGGAATGCATACAAGAGGCAGGAGAGGTGAGAACCGGGAAGCCTGATTGGTCAACATGCTCCCAACGCTGGAATGCAGCGTCCGTGTTGGTGGAAGACGGAGGCATAAGCGGGAGTTCTGATTGGTCAACGTTGCTCCCAACATTGGAAGAAGAGTCTGTGTTAGTATTTGACGGAGAAGAGAAGCGGGACTTCTGATTGGTCAACGTTGGCATTGTACGCGATCGTCACAGTATTTGGTATCTGTTTTTCTCCTCTGTGCCCAAAATATTTACAAAATGCAAGGCGAGTGCTACCCTTTGGGTACCGGTGTCGACTTGTGTTTGTCTTGTGTTTTTCGTGCCTCCATGAGAACGATGACACGGAGGAGAACCCCAACCATCAGAGTTGGCTGACGTTGTTTTTAGGGTGTTTCATCGTCTTTGTTCCAATGTTTCCTCTGCAAGGTGAGAATTTCGGTTTGGTTGTCGGCGTTTCGATGTGCGTTTGTTCATTCTTCGGTCAGGACCATGAGATGGGGGAGGTGACCCACCTTCAGTTCTTTTTTTTTTACGTTTGTGTGCATTTGCTCCTTTGTAGTTTCGAGGCAAGTAGTGTTTGCACGTTTGTTCTCGACGTTGAAGTGTTATTATAAATCTATGTTCGGTCAGGACGATGAGCCGGAGGTGTTGCCGTGCTGGGAGTGGTTTTGTAGGGAGTGGGGGGTGTTCCTTCTTGTTTTACACCAAATTTGACTGTCGACTTTTTATGTGTTTTCTTGGAGTAACTAGCGTCGACCGACCGCGTTTTTCGCTCTTCGGTCAGGATGATGAGACGGAGGAGGTGCCCTACTGGGAGGGCGAGGCTCCAAAGTACGACGAGGACGGAACGATTCAGGGGCTCGAGAAGGGCGGGCTCCGCGTGGCGAACGCTGCTCTCACCACCAAGGATGACACCATCGGGGTCAAGGTATTTGTGTGTGTGTGTTTATCGTGGTCGTTCTCGTTGCTGCTGCTGCTGCTGCTGTTTGTTGTTGGATTTTGTTGTTTTGTGCAGCTGTTGTTGATTGTTGTTGTTGTTGTTGTTGCTGTTGCTGCTGCTGCTGTTGTTTGCTGTTGGGTGTTGTTGTATTGTGTAGCTGTTTCTGAATGTTGTTGTTGCTGTTGTTTTATTTTTTTGTAACTCCTGCTGTTGTTGTTATTGCTGCACCATCGGGGTCAAGGTGTGTGTGTGCATCGTGGTCGTTCTTGTTGCTGCTGCTGCTCTGTTGTTTGTTGTTTTCGGTAGCTATTGTTGTATTTTGTTGTTTTTGTTTGTTTTGTTGTTGCTGCTGCTGCTGCTGCTGCCCTGTTGTTGTTAAACGTTGTTGCTGCTGTACTGTTGTTGGTATGATTGCTTGTGCTGTTGACCGTTGTTGTCGTTGTACTTTGTCCTCAGTTTCGACAGGCGCTTCGTGTGGCACACATGCTCAATTGATTCCTGGCACACATGCGGTTCATTTTCCATTGTAACTAAAGAGACCAGTTCCCGCGGACAACGTTTTTTTCTTTCATGTTTTGTGGCAGTAGTTTTTGCACGAAATACAAAATCACGAGCCCAAAGACGCCGTTTCGATTGGCATTTCTTCCCTGTTCATCACATCTTTGTGTTCCACGAAAAGCAGTGGATTCCCAGGGACGAAGAAATTCTGTTTTTCTTCGTTCGCTGTTGATTTCGGTACGAAATAATCAATAACCTACGGGTGATGTTTGATCTATTATTTCTTCCCTGTCTGGCGGTACCTAAAAAAAGAATCCGGACGAAAACAATTGTTGGCTATTCGTTACCTGTTGATTGCGGTATGAAAAAAAAACAATTCCTACGCATGTTTTATCTACTATTTCATTCTTTCTGCCCTGTCTGGCGGTATCTTTTTTGCGCGAAAAAAACAGAAATAGGTTCCCACGGATGAAAACAATTGTTCGTTCTTCGTTCCCTGTTGATTGCGGTACAAAAGAATCAAAAACATTTGGATGATGATTAATCTATTTTTTCTTCCCTGTCTGGCGGTATATCTCTTGTGCGTGGAAAAAAAAAAAAAGGTTCCGACGGACGAAGAGTTCCACTGGTACCTCCTGAGGTGCTTCGCGACGTACGAGGTGCGGTGCCGCAACTCCGTAGAGAGCTACCTCGAGGGTGCTGGGCTGGGCGATCGGGTGGAGGAGATCTGGGTTCCCTGCCGACAGGCGAGTGAGGGCGTGAGAGACACGGGGCTGGGGGGGGGCTGTGATGTGATATTTACCGGGTCTGGGT